GGCTCTTCTCGTTCATAAGGGAAGTGAGCCTTGGATTATCCTGTTTACTCGCGTCGACTAGTCTGCTGAACCGCGACCTGTTTGCGGCAGAGGACGCGGTGCCTGAGCCCACGACATTATCCGAGGCCGTCCGCACCTCCCATGACGAGCCGGTCCGACGCTTCTTGGAGCGTTCCGCGTCCAGAATCGCCGCCGTGTAGTCTGGCTGGTCGCTGCTGCCGGTAGCTGGTGACGGACTGCTTGAGGGGCTTCTTGCTCTGAACCCGAGGCCTAGTCGACTTGTGCTACTGGAGGTACCTCCTGCTAAAGCATTCAGACGTGGTGTAGGCCTAGGCGTAGGGCCACCTAACATGGCATCCAACCGCGGGGTTTTGGAGGGATCGTTGGGCGTGCTTTGAAGCGACGACGTAGACCCCCCCGTTAAGCCGGCTCGTCTGTTGAACGAAGACACGGGTTCGTTTCTCGAGCCGCCCCTCCGAACGGGGCCAACGGGTTCCGCGTTCTCGACACGCTGGATTCGAATCTATTGACGTTGCCGCTCCGAGGTGTCTCTCTTGGCGTCAGGCTCTGGTCTAGTTTCGCCCGGAGTCGAGCCGTCGATTCATCGTCGAACTTGGGCGTAGACTCGAGCTTAATCCTGCCCAAGTTCTTGAGTCGATCTCTCGTCGAGGTGCTGTTGGAGACGGGTATACCATGTTGGCTGCTACTATTTGGAGTGGTTGTTGGCTTCTCCTTTTTGACGCTCGCGCCAAACCTGTCTCTGATATCCCTGTGACCTGACCGCCTAGCTGCTGAAACGCCAGCAGACGAAGGCTCTGGCTTCACAATGCCCGCTATGTCCATGCTCTCTGTCTTTGGCGTTGCCTGGTTGCGAAGCGCATTGTCATGCGAGGGCAATTCATCTCTGGTTGAGGATCCTTGGTGACTTCTTCGAGGCGGCGACGAAGAAGCTGAAGGCTCTGCGGCTGTGTTCGTGGGAGGCCCTTGCGACTCCGCGTCTGCAAGCTTCCACATAATGTTGCCCTTGTCTCCAAGGAACAACAGCAGAACATCTGGGTCAAATTGATGGACAGCTCTGGTTGCCTCCTGTCTCCTCAATGCTCCACTTGTACGGATTCTTTCGTTAACAAGCGAAAATTTGACAAGTTGCATCGTCAGACTAGCCTCGTTCTTACCGTAGATGGCTATTTTGATGGGTTTATCTTGCTTTTTGAGCTGTTCTTTGATGTGATCCACGATCGCCCTCGGCTTCACTAAGTGAATCGTTTTCCAACTTGGTTGCTCCAAGAAAGAGTCCAGGGTCCTGCAGTGGCGGCAACATTCGGCCATTGGGGATATCGACCTCGGCTCCCGCTCGATCCGCCCTGAGACGTCCTCAAAGACTGCGCTCTCGTAATACTCAAAGATGGCCTGAAAGAGGCGCTGGTACGCCGGCTTATCGGGGTCCACCACGTCCTGGAGAGTCCTGAGCAGTGGTAGCCAGAGAGGTGCCAAATGGATAAGCTCAATCTCGGTAACATGCTGGGCAATGTGGTTTGCGAGATCGGATACTTGATCATCCATACCTAGACGATCAAGATTTCGGAGCAGTCCAGCGATCATTGTGTGACTCGCCGGGCCCGGCTTTGAAAGGCCGTTAAGAAGTTCTTCCGTTGGTTCAGCAACGCACCAAGCCTGCCGAGCAGCCTTTGCTTCAGTGCTTTGCTCTTTGTGGGTATTGCTGACCAAGTTCTCGATCTTCCATAGCGTCCGTGATGCGACTGGCACTCCTGCATGCCTCTCATAAAACTCGGCAACTTGGTCAAGGGGCAGGTTGTCTCTCTTTGCCACCTCAAAGAGTCTGTTGAACATTCCAAATATGAATTGACTCTGCTTTGGCATGTCTCCAAGTCGGCTCACAACTTCGTTCATCCTGTCGATCATTAGTATGCGAAGAAATCAGAGAATGGAAAATGTGCTTACGTGTCTCTCCACTTGCCAAACTCCTTGAACAACTTCAAGAGGTTCACTACAACCCGGCCATGGCTAGCTGAAAGAGGGGCTTCCAGCATTCTGAAAGCCATGATCCCCAGTCCCTGGGTGTTTTCGCTCGAAATGTTGGCCTCAGAGCATGCAGGGAGCTTGTCGACTATGCTAGCAACTTGCAAGAAGTTGTTGCCCTCGAACAGAAAATGTCGGAGCCTAAGCTTTTGTTAGTCAAGGTTTGTGATTGGAAATTTCCAACTTACTCAAAAAGAGCATCGGCTGCCGAGTAGCCATAGGAGGTCGCATTTTGGCATATGCAATTGTAGTCTACAATCGGCGCAGATCGGATGTTGGCGACGAGATTCTGGAAAAGCTGATGGTCTTTGAAAATCAGTGAAGCTAGAATAAGGTCACCCATAAGACCGGGGTCCATCTTGTCAATGAGATCTTCACGGTTTGTAAGTCGCAGGCCGAGGATCCTTGTCTCTGATAACTCGTTCCCTCGTTGAGGCCAAACAAAGTGACAAAGAGACCTGAGCGCTCCAAAGTAGAATGCTGACTCTGAAGATCCTTTGCATTGCCGCAGGAGATAGCGCCAGAGGTTTCCAGCAAGCTGGGTCTGATCGGCCATGTTGACAAAGTCTAGTTGCTTTCGGAGAGGTGTAATGATGATTGCCTATGAATAGTCAGAATGCAATCACAAACACCGTGATGGCTGGTCGCCTCGAACTTACCGGTGCGAAGTAATATCCTATATCACCACTAGTGCCTGGGACAATGTTTTGGTACCACTGAGGGTTTGCCTCACGGTATTTTCGCTCGTCGTCAAATGCCCGCTCCTCATAGGGCCATCCCCATGAGAAGATTGAACGGCGGGCCCTTTCCCAGAGGATGTTCCTCTCATCTAGCACATTGCCCTCATGGCAATCAATGGTTTCGGCAAGCGTAAGCTCGTCAAATTTGCCAAAATACTGGATACTGGGTGAGTGGGTGACGTGCTGATTGACCTGCCAGAAGCCGTTCTGCTCAAAGGCTTGCAGCCCGGCGTTGCTGTCTTGCTGGGAGGAAATCCAAGCTTGGTATTGGCAGTGGGCTCCTGTATATTTCATGACCACTGGAAGCACCTCAAATCCTAGCCGAGGGCACAGGTCGATGAGACGAGCCATGAGGGAAGAGTCAGCAGCAGACATGTTCTGCCCCATGACCCAACTCTCGAACTCGGCGGCATTTTTCGGGGCGTGGAAGTGGTAGACAGCATATTGACGTGATAGGGATCGGTCCTGAATCCTAGAGTCCCAGTGCTTCAAAATCTCCGAGAGCCGACCGTATGCAGAATCTAGTGCATGACTGGAGGCTGGTTGCTGGCGTTGATCTGTTGTAGTGGGATGGCTTTCTGTCTCTGAACTAATCGCGTGGGACGTGTCGGGCCCACCGACCGCGTAAAGAGCCTCGATAGCTTGGTATAGCTCTCCTCTGAGGGCACTACTCAATGGCGCGTTGATGCCGTGCAAGATGCCGGGCCTTTGAGGTGCAGGCTCCGGCTCTGACATGACTTTGTTTTCATGTGTCGCATTTGCCGAATCTCTCTGTGACGTGTTTGCGATGAATGAATGAGTCTGTAAAGGCAGCTTGCAAGCTAGGTTGAGTGACTTGGAGTTGAAAGAGTTAATTGGAGTGGGCACGTTGAGAGCCAAAAAGGAAAGGTGCGAAGAGGAAGTTGGCGCGTGCGTGGGGTAAGAGAGAAGGCCCAGAAATTTACCAGAGCCGGTAAGGGAAGCAACGTTCCTTGAGGGTGCTGGGCCCACTCCACGATCTGCCCCACTTGAGTCCCCTTCCCCGGCAGTTGACAAGCAAGAAGATGCAGTGCAACAAGCTCTTCTCTGAAAGACTTAAAGACAAGAGCATTAGGATTCTAAAGGCCCAACATCAGGATGGTCTATATCTGGTACTATATAGACGTAAAAAAGGGTTGCGAGAGATATTTGTGTGTACGCGTCTAAGAGCCTGTGTTCTAATCGTCTATAGGACATAAAAATCGGGACTCTAAGCTGTGCACAAGTAGGGAGTGCTGTGAAACCAGAAATCTTGAATAATTAAAAACGACGAACAAAAGCCATGCTGGAATGATCAAGGATCGGATATGGACCCCGAAATATACCGGGGACTTCACGGTATAACCGGGCTCTGTACAGCTCAGAACCCTTCAAACAAATAGCACAGTGCTTAGTGGATGATAAAGATATGAAGCTACTCAAAAGGTAAGGCTCGGGGCGATTTAATTTGATGTCAATCTAACACCTGGAGGAAGGAGCGATCCCAATCTCCGTCGTTCCTTCCAGCTCGATCCGTATATAAGACTGGACCGCATGGTTGCGGCTTCCTTTAGCATGGCCTTTTTCAACTATCCTTTTAACTTGAGATTGGCTCCCGTTATAGGGAGGTGCCCTTTATAAAGCAAACTCTTACCCACGGGCATTTGAATATCACAGTCAATGTGGGATGTTTTAAGCACGATACCCTGGTTCTAGTGACATGTTCGCTTCTTTTAATGAAGAGTTATGACGAATGCTCCATAGTGGATTTGAGCAAGTTGAAGACTTTTGGTTCTATCATTAACTGCAGACAGCTACAAATCAACTCCAGGGTATAATCACACTTCCGAGGTTTCTCCTCTACGCCATTTTATCCGAACCATCATCCAGTCTTTCCATAAAATCCAAAAATCACACCTAGTCTTTTCAGGCCCTAATCAGTTAAATATCAACACTGAGGTAAGCTTTGAGATTCTCCCCGTTGTCGGATTGTCGAGGGCGGGCCGAGTCAGCCAACCGTTGTGTCAAGTGGGCCCCAAGGAATCGATTCTGGCAGAGCCCTTGGAAGACAGTCGTATCGATAGAAAGTTCATCCCAACTTGCGTCGCCTTCATCCTGGGTGCGCATTGATGTAGCCGGGAAGGGCGTTGCAAATCGACGAGCTGCAACCATATACCAGACATCTCAGCCCGGCGCATATTTCCCATTCTCATTCGCAATCTTTCAGACCTCGAAAGCTCTCTCGCCAAAGCTCCTCCACGCCCAGCTGCAAACGATCCAGCCACCCCAAGCCAAAGCAAGCGACATGGTAAGCAACGCGAGCGCCATCACCACGAGAACATGGCCCCTCAGCTGGAATGCATCGTCCATCTCCATGCGCAGCAGCTTCTTCTGTTTACTGTGGTAGTAGAAATCCTCCCGTTCGTCCTTGGGGCTCGGCGTCGTCGTCGGTGTCGATGTCTTCGAATCCTTGGCCTCTGCGTAACGGTACTGTGATTTCCGGTAGAGGATGCTGTGCAGCCAGGAGGGCATCCAGCCTTGCCGCCCATGGTTTCTTGACCTCCTGATTGTGTAGGTGAGGTCTACCCATGCGAGGGAGAGCAGAAACGAGACGAGGATGATGGGCGTCATTATGACCTGTGGTGGAAATGTGAGCGTCTTGCACACCGAGCACCGCGACATGCCACCTGGAGTCCCATATTGTCTGGAAACCCTCTTCGGTCTCTTCAAAGCAACCCAAGGCCTCATAATACCCATGAGGACTTCAGTGCGTGTGAGCTTACCTTGTAAATTGTGGGTTGCTGGACGGCTCCAGCGTCACTGCCGCCTCGCGTGGCAGTGACTTTGGTGGCTGTTGTTGATGACGACATTGCCTCCCGATGGCCGAAATACTTGCAGAGTCCGTGGACGATGGGCGTCGAGTTGTAAATGACTTATGAAGCTTGGAATCGGGCCCTCTGGCAATCTGCCAATAACTTTTCGTGTGAGAGATGAGTAAAAATCAAGATTTCAGAAAAAGGGAGGAGCGTACAAGACGACGGCGTGCGGAGATAGAAATATGTCAGTAAGACAAGGTGAGGTACCTGATCATCGTTAGCTTCGGCGCGGGCGGGCAGCACCGCCGCCGTGCTGCCACTATCCGTACTGGGCCTAAATTTAATACCACCGCCTCGGTTTCGGTTGCCAGGTGGTGCGCCTTACCTTCCGGTACCTCACCACTCACCTTGCGCGCGCACTGCGGTTGGGATACGGGAGTGACGGAAGGTCCCCACTTGGCGCCCATTGGGGATCACTGATCAGCGAGACATCACATCATACCTCTCCCAACACAAGCTACTAAAGAATTGCAGTGAAAGAAAGCCCCAAAACACACACAACTCACGCAGAGCATCGACCGACACCGATCCAATTCGCTCTTGCTGACCCGTGGACACGAGCCCCCAGAGATCCTAGAGCTCTGTTGATCAGGGGTGCCCAGTGCGTGGCTCTGCTCGTTCTGATTCAGCCCTGTGTCCACAGAAGGAGGCCTGGCAAAAGTGCAGAGCCTCTCAATGCAACGCTAGCGACGCAAGCAATGGCGACGCCTCAATGTCATACGTACCCGTAGGAAATACCGTCGCCTCAGCCACAACTGCTCAGTTGGTCGATGATGAACGGCCGTTTTCACTCAGCACCACTTTTGTTTACGTCTTGTTCTTCTGGACCCTCGCTGGTTTCACCTCCAATTGCGATATTTTGGTTGACTCTTGCACCTTTGCTGACTATTCTTGCAGGAGCATTACATATTTCATGGTATTCATCTATTTTTCCTTTCCAAAATACTGCAAAATTCTATCGAGTGTTGTGGATATCGAGCACCAAAATGTCCTGAGCGCCAACGCGGGTCAGATCGTCCATCACCAGCGCAATCTTCTTCTTCTCAACCATTGAGCTGACGGCGACCCAGCCCTCCTCGTCCAGTGTTGTGATGGTCGGCGCCCGCTTTCCAGGGGTAATCGACTTGGCGTCGGACAGACGTGATCTCTCAATGTTGTACTGGCACAGGACGAATCGCTGAGCGGTAATGACACCGCGGATACGGGCGGCGATGAGCTCGATCAACTCGTTGTTTGACGGCGACCGGGACTTGATGAGGCAGGCTTGAGAGTCGACGACGGTGTCAATGGCCTTGAGGCCGGCGGCCCTCATGGTCTCACCAGACTCTGGATGCGGATGTTAGTGCTTGTTTGAGTGCTGGTCATTCTAGGACGACTACTTACCAACAAGATCAACGATGCCATCGGCGACACCCAGCGCACAGGCAGCCTCGACACTTCCACTGAGATCGATGATCTTGGTGCGAAGCTTCTTGGGTGAGGTGTTGCTGTTGCCATCGGCGTCGACACCCAGCTCCAGCTTGGCAAAGTGCTCGGCCGCCAGGTTGACGAAGCTGGTGCCAATGGTCTTGCCAATCAGGTCCTCCGTTGTCGCGTAGGGGCCCTTCTCGGGGACCTGGGTCTGCAGCTTGCAGTGGCCGAAGCCGAGCTCCATGACCATTTCGCAGCCTCCGACCTTTTGAAGCTCCTCGCCCTCGGGATTCAGTTCGACGGAGGCTCTCCGGGCCTTGTTGCTGCTGATGACGCCGGCATCGTGCTCCTTGACCTGGTCCCAGCCCGTGATACCAAGATCGACGCGGCCCTCGCCGACAAATGTGGGGATATCGGCGGCGGGCAAGAAGATGAGGGCGATGGGGAAGTTCTTGACGAGGGCGATGTCGAGGCGGTTCTCGCGGCGGAACTTGATGTCGGCTCCCTCAAGCAGGTTCAGCGTAGCGGAGTTCAAGCGGCCCTCTGTGGAAAGGAGTCACTGTCAGCATGTGCGACTGTTGGTTTCGGGATGAACATTATGGGCTGACTCACTCTTGGGCACGGCAAACAGAAGGCGGCCCTCTAGGCTTTGCTTCGTCATTAGCTTCTCTGCGAACTGGTCCATGGCGGTTGCGATGGAGGGGTAAAAACCAACTGGTTGACCAAATCCATGGTAGGCAAAGGTATGTTGCAATGACGCGATCGACAGACGGGAATATAATAGGTGGAGAGAAGTCGTTCTCAGAGTTGAAACGCTTCAAGAGGTTAGGTGGAAACGGTCGGGTCGGGCGCGCGTGCGGAATGGAGCACAAGGTCGCAGTGAAGCCAATGGCGATGAGAATTTCTGCAGCGAGAGCGGCGGGGTGGTTTTTGGGTCGCACAGCACAGGTTCGTTGTGGTGTTCAGAGGGGTGAGAGTTGAGGCTTGGAAAGCGAGCGTGATTTCGAGTCAATTGGTCTGGGACTCGGGTAATGATAAAAGTTCAAGTCTGCGCGACTTTGTTCTTGGTCGTCGCGGAAGCTGTCCGTAGGAGGGGCACTGCACTTGTTCGATTCTGCGGTGAGTCAAAGGCCGGGCCAAGACTTGGGGAGAGAGAGGGCGGAAATTTTGTGTGGTGGATTGGAACCCCGCCGTCTTAGTGTGCGGCAGCAGTCGTCACTCATCACCGCGGGCCACCACCACGTTGGCCTATGTCGGAGCTGCGACTGGTGCAGACTCAGAGCAGAGGGCGTGGATGGCGGGGCACGCCGTTGAACGCGGGGCAGTCCTTGGACCAAGTGACGGCACATGCCGGAGGGGCAGGCGGCACCCGAGTCCGTTCTCACAGCGGGCCCTCGCTGAGGTAAGCTATCTACTCATCCATTTGTTGAAGATGAAAGTTGAAGGGCAGAAGGAGATGAATGTTGATGCACCCAACCCATCTTAAGGTAAGCTAATGTGTGGTAAACTATGGAATGCGTTGATGAAATTTACCCTCAGCGGCATGTCGTGTATCGCAGCTAAATGAAAGCCAAAGCAACGGTGAGGTAGAAATCGTGCCTGACAAAGTTCTGGGTGTGGGCATTGTATGTTCAGGTTGCTCTGCTGGGTAACTGGTAGATCTCAAGCTTCAGAGTCAAGGCATGACTGCGCATATGTGATTCAGTCAATCATGAGTTTGGAAGCCTGAGCCGCATAACTACCTTATTCATCCATGTCAGGCTATGCCCACGCCATGATACTCACAGAGCATCTGTGTACACCAATACGATGCGTCTTGGTAGTTGAACCTGGCTTCCTTATATGGCCAGAGCTTCCAGCGCGAGAAACTCCCCGTGTAAGCTTCGACGTGGCTCCAACTCTCGAGCCAGTCCGTTTGGTCAACGAGAAATCGGCAAACAATAGAATGGAACCTGAAAAATAATTCTGTTGAACGGAGTGCGAGTGCAGGGCAATCTAAGTTACTTTCCATTGTTTCAAGCCACATTAAATCGAAACTCTTGATACCGCAGGCTTCCTCGTTCCCACCACTTCTGGTCTCCCTAGCGTGAGGTACAAGGAACTCCCTATTTTTACTCCTAGATAGGTAGAACGATTCTACAACAATAAGATACTTACCTTCCCTCCCGACAAGCCACGAATCCTCATCTAGATGAGGAAAGCACAGCACAGCAGGCTGAGATATTGCTTCCCTGGCCATTGGATTGACGTTTGCTCCCTCTCCTGTTCTTATGCATCTCCCGAGTCTTGGGCTGTCTTGTCCCATCGGACCCCAATCATCTAGGTAGTACCTAATCATTACATTATCCCAAGCTCCCGACTCTGCACAGTCCATCAAAGTTGGACTGTGAATGAATGCATATACCCGCCCTGCCAATTTCGTATTGCATTCCGGCCGCCCAGCTGGCCCCCTACCTCATCTCCCCCGTACCTTACGTATCTTAGTCCCTAGATGCGCCTAGGTATTCCATGCTGGACCCACCATAGCTCGACATTACCACCACTCCTTTGGCCCGCACATCTCGAACCTCCGTTGCATCCATCCCCAAATCGCCAGCAAAGTTAACCCCCGTTGGCTGATCTTCCTTTCACAACCACGGAATTGTGGGCATGACGCGCACCCGGTCCTGATATCCGCAGCGGCCGCGACGCCCGGATTACTTTAAATTCGGTCCTGGTCCACACCTCGAAAACCCCCCTGCTCATACGCAAGCCGCCCGCACTGCCCTTGGCAGCGCAAGCAGCCTGCAGTACGGAGTGCTGCGCCGGCCCCTTCAAATGGCCCATACGCCGGCCTCAACGACTCCGTCGCGTAGTTCCCCGTCCTCACACCTTCATCCTTCCCCCTCGCTGTACGACCGCGACTTCGACGACGATTATTCGGGCGGCCAATCGACACCGATCAGGACGCCCTCTAGATCTTCCAGCAACAACACCGACGGCGACGACAAGGGCGGCAACGAGCTCAATGACGACGTCGACTTTCCCTTTGCAATCCGCAAACCCCTAGAAGTGCATCGCGAAAGGGACACGAAGCTTCCCGGTCTTGGCAATTTCGCCCGACACCATACGGACAGATTCAGAAGCGGCGAGAGGGACGACACCGACGACTACCCCGAAGACGACGACGCTCTCGTGTTAGAGCAAGATCCAGCAGGGATGTCTAGCTGGGCGGGACAGCCCTCCATCAGAGGGAGCTCGGAGGCCATGCGAATGGTGCTCTTGGCCTTTAATACCCTTGGTATCACGTACGTTTGCTAGCGACAACTGCCAATGGGCCTGCCATGCTGACGTGGTCCTGAATGCAGCTTCACGTGGGGAATTGAGATGACATGTACGTCGCTGTGCATCCACTGTCGCTGGACTTCCCATACTAACCCATTCCAACAACAGATTGTACACCATACCTATTGAACCTCGGCCTCACAAAGAGCAACACCTCGCTGGTATGGATCGCAGGACCGTTATCGGGGCTCGTGGTTCAGCCCATTGTAGGAGCCATCGCGGACGAATCCAAGTCGAAATGGGGCAGGCGGCGACCATTCATCGTGGTTGGGTCAATTATCGTTGCAATTAGCCTGCTGACCTTGGGATTCACGAAAGAGATTGTCGAGATCTTCGTTTCGGACAAGGAGACGGCGCGAATCTTCACAATCATCCTGGCGGTGTTGGCCATCTACTTTGTGGATTTCGCCATCAATGCTGGTGCGTCTAAACAATCCTGCACCCAAGTCCATCGTTGGTTTCCCTGCTGACTACGGCACAGTAATGTCTTGCGCACGAAGCCTGATCGTCGACACCCTCCCTATTGAGAAGCAACAGACTGGCGCCGCTTGGTGTAAGTGAAGCTCAGACGCGCATCATCACACCAGGTTGCATCCCGTCCGCTAATCCCCACAAAGCTAGCAGAATGTCAGCGATTGGACACATGCTGGGCTATGGAGCCGGTGCCATCGACCTAGTCGGCATATTTGGAAAGGCAATGGGTGACTCGCAATTCAAGCAGCTCACGCTCATCGCCACTTTCTTGATGCTCTTCTCTTCCGGCGTGACCTGCTGGGCCGTTAACGAGCGGGTCTTGGTGTCGACAAGACACGACCCCCGCAAAGCCACCGGGCGGTTCAAGGTCTTCCGCCAGATTTGGTCAACGCTGCTTCATCTTCCCCCTCGAATCCAGGCGATTTGCTGGGCCCAGTTCTGGTCCTGGATCGGCTGGTTTCCGTTTTTGTTCTACAGCACCACCTGGGTTGGCGAGACGTACTTCCGATACGACGCTCCGGCAGAGGGTAAAGACTCCAAAGATGCCCTGGGCGACATTGGCCGCATCGGCAGTTTGGCGCTGGTCATATACTCGACCATTACCTTCATAGGCGCCTGGCTCCTACCCATGGTGGTCAAATCACCAGACGATGACAACTTCACGGCTCGACCGCCCCAAGCCATTGCGCCATTCCTAGAACGTTTCAACAAGAACAAGCCCGATCTCATGACCGCCTGGATATGCGGCCACCTCATGTTCGCTGCGGCCATGTGCCTGGCCCCCTTTGCGCAAAGCTTCCGCTTCGCAACCTTCCTCGTCGCCTCCTGCGGCTTGTCTTGGACAATCGCCATGTGGGCGCCGACGACCTTCCTCGGCGTAGAGGTAAACAAGCTCAGTGGTGCTCGCGAAGGAGGCGGCAGCGGGACGGCAGCCTACCGCCGCCTATCAAACGACTCCAATATTGAGCTGCCCACGCTCGGCCAGGACCAACCACTCCACCTGGAACATGGCCCGGACGATGGTGGCCAGCAGACCACGTCGTCTACAGGCGAGTTGTCGGGCATCTACTTTGGCATACTCAACATCTACACCACTCTGCCACAATTCATCGGAACCTTCATAAGCACCATTGTCTTCACAATACTAGAGCCGGGCAAGAGTCCTGAGCTTTCAGACGCACCCGAACACGAGCAGCACAACACCGATGGACCCAACGCTATTGCAGTGTGTCTCTTTATCGGTGCCATATGCGCAGTGGTGGCCGCGTTCGCGACGCGAAAGCTCAAGTATCTCTGAGCCTGATGTACGAGTCGGTAAAGAAGAAATAGCACGCGTTTCGTTATTGTACGGGCAAGGGTAGCGTAGGGGATATGGGATGGCGTTACGGAAAGGGGAGAGACCATGTTCTCTCGCATTAGATCATGTGTGGGATAAAGCGTATAGGGCTTTCGTTTCATTTAAGGAATCTCGAGGGCATGGCACATGTCGAGGCTGCCGGCTTTTACTAGACGTAAGGGAGCTATGTTGCTGCACTGCCGCCAGTGAATACACTCGGGGTCATGGATGAATGAGAATATGGGTGGTGTGAATCGCTGTTTTCTTAAGTATTTGTACGTGGAGCTGCTCGCGATGGAGCACGCTGCCAAAGCCCTATGTACAAGTCCGGTCCGTACAGTGAGCGCATGTGTCGACGCTTGCTCAAGGGTATCTCAAATCTCTCGTCGCGCGGATGCGTGCCGAACATCTGTCTCTCTCCCCCCCCCCCCCCCGTCCCTTCCCGTTCTCCTCCTGTTCCTACATTGAAATATTCTAGTGGTGTGCATCGCTCGACGAGTGGTGTTGGTTAAGCGCATCGTCATCGTCATGTGTGTTCTGTACGTCGTCGTCGTCGTCGCGCTTCGAGATCAGTTCACTTATCCTTCTCGTTCTCGTTCTCCGAAACCTTCTCCCACTCGTCCTCGGTGCTCACGCTCGACTGCGTGCCCCCATTCGTGGCATCCTCAGCCCCAGACTCGGCACCGGCGGAAACGGCGGTGCGGTGCTTCAAGTCGGCCGCTTGCTGCTGCTCTGCAGCTGTCTCAACCTGGCTGCTGCCGCCCACGACGCCCTTCCTCCCGCGAGCGCCACCCCTTACCCCTCCGACAACGGCGCTGCCCTCAACCTCGGTGTCGCTATCATCCGTTCCTTGGGTATTGGCTCCTGCCGCGGTGCCTCCTACTCCTCCACCGGCGGATATATCGGTCCCACGCGCCTTCTTGGCCTCTTCCTCTGCGTGCTGTGCCAGCTCGATGACGAACCAGTTAATAGCGTACCAGAGGCCCGCGCTGAGGAAGGAGAGAATGACGAAGTGGATGCTCCAGGTGGCGAGGAGGAGAACGCCGAGGAGGAGCTGGAGCGCGGCAAAGGTTGCGTTGGTTGCGCGGAGGAGAGTCGGTGTTGGGCCTGGGGTGAAGATTGAATCCCAGAGGTTGGTGACGAAGGCCGCCATGATTGATGGGGGAGGGTATTTCGGTGTATATGTTATTTGTGAATGCAAAGGTTTGTCTCCGGCCGCCAAAAGGTTGTACTCGTTTCGCTCGATCGGGTATTCGATTTCGTGGAGTTGATGCGAGGCCTGATGGAGTGAATACTGGCCGCGGTGTGGTGTTTGAAGTGGATGTGATGCTTCGTGGTGGAGTAATTTGCTTTGGGTAAGGAGCTCTGGAGGAGTGGACTCCGTTACGTTCTAGCTTATGGGAGCCACGAAGACGACTAGGGTAAAATTTTCTGTATTTTAGAAATGCAAGACGACGCTCGCGAGGACTTTGTATTTGGCGATGATGCTGTTGTTTCGTTTGGATTTGCAGTCAGACGGCAGAGTCAAGGCGGTAAGAGCGCATAATAAATAGCGTTTCTGGGTTGAGCAACAATTGGGTTGAGGGAGGGGGGCAGGAAAGAGAGGGGTCCCTTCCGGCTGCTTAGGAAGGTCAGGGAAGGTTGTAGGTGATGTAAGGTAAGGTAGGTGCAGGCGAGGTACCATTTGACAACACGCGCGGGTTGTGGCGGGGGTTGGGAGAAGGAGGGGAGAGGGGGAACCGTCAAGATAATGTATCTTTTCTGTTGACCAACAGCAAGCCAGAAGAGACACGGTATTGTCTCTCTCTCTTCCTCTCTCCTTCTAGCTCTCGGAGGAATGGTCGCAACGTGGTCACTCGGTGGTTAACAAATCAGAACAGGTGGCACATTAGAGGACAAGAGGTGACCGTGGCCTTGCGATAGTTGACATCAACGTATTTAGATATTTACGGGGCTGACTGTGGTTGTGAAGAGACAGTGGAGGGTGCAATTTGGAGTCATAAGGTTGCCTGTTAGGCAGAAAGACAGGCAGGTTTCCTCTCTCGGTGTGGTCACGGATTACTCAAGTCAAAGAAGATAGCAGATGCCGTCAAGCAACGCGGAGGGATCGGTCACAGCACGCGGCCCTTCGGAACATGCTTCTTGGACCGTTTCTGTGCGACGCAGCGACAGCAATGGGGCGGCGGGAGGCCGGAATGACCCCTCCATGGCTCAGGAAACGTCACCGTCGCGTTCTTTTTTTCCTGGGGTCGTGGGGTCGTGACCTCTCTAATGCAAAGCTTCAACTGAGCCGAGGCGAGGCGAAGGGGACCTGCTGACCAGCTTATTGGGGTCCGTCGAAGATGAGTTGCGGGGTGAAGCATATAGAGCATCCGCATCCGTACTCAGCGGTAATTTAATATTGACCGCGTCCTGCCAATACACGAGAAGTCAATTCCATCCCTTGATCCGGCACTGCTGCTTGCTTTGCTTGGTCTCTGCAGGCTGCCGTAGGTATGAATGTATTGTATCTTCCATGCGCAAAGTATGTGGTGGGGATCAGTCATCGGCGATAACCGTTGCCGGATTTCGGTTTCACTCTGCGCCAGACACCAAGAACAACTCGCGAGAGTCCCGTCAATGCGGCCGGCCACCACACATAATTCCCATTTTTTACTCTATAGCCTTGGAGACAGCACCCCAAAACTACTTACATTTCCCTTGAGTGACAACTAATACAGACAGCACGCAGGTTATGCAAAGAAAAAGAAAAGAAAGAAAAAAAAGAGCTTAAATCCTTATTGTCAGTGCTGCCGGAAGCAAGTAAGACGGGCTGCATATAGCAGCGCCATTCCTTGCTTGTATCATCGGCCATGGTGTAAGACCGGCGGGAAGAAAAAAATGGAATGACTAACTTGGTGCGCAGGCATCTATTTCTACCTATGTATTGCCCCCTGAAAAGAATGGGGAGCAGAATACATATCTCGACGGAAGAAGAAGGGGCTAGGAGCTGTTTGCCGTATTTACATATGGATATGTATTCGTATGCGTGTCTTCTTCCATAGCCGTCGGAGAATTAGAGCTTGCAGTTAATCTATCTCATTCGCATGGCAGGCCTGTCTGTGTGTGAGATATCGGCCGTCTCAAAGAAAGTAGTGTTAGGTTGTGACTAAGAGAGCAGATCCAAAACAACTGAAATGCCCTTGCCGCCAACGTTCAGGAACCACACGTCGCAAGATGATCCCGGGGTTCCGCCCCCAAATCTGGAACTGAAGGTGCGGGACCGAATAGTTATGGGACCCGATGGATATACCCCTACCTATCCGTATGTTCTTCTAAATCCGTACTGCCGCCGGATTGCTTTTGGTTTTTGATGTACGACGTACCTATCCAACTTCGGGACTGCCCTCACTCAGGTACAACACCTTCCTTGTATCCATTTGCTAACGACTTCCATCGCCCCAAATAAGCAAGAAGGAAATCCTTGAAAGGCAACCTTCCAGTAACCCTGTCTCTGGTTTCCCTTTACCAATCAAATTGGGAAACAATTCCGTTCTCTTCTGGTCGGAGAAGTTGGAGTTTTTTACCCCAATCTCTTACCAGGGTGCGGATACACACTGAGAGAGGTAGGTAGGTGCCTTCCTGCACACGATATCCGGGGAACGTGTGACCGGACCACCCACCTTAGCGCGGAGCACATTGGGAAAGACCTTGGCCAACCTAAGCTGGTCCACCACCGTCCACCACCGGATCGACGACTGACGACCTGCACCGGCAACCAACGCACCACCACCACCGCCGCAACTACCATCATTTACCGCCGTCGCCGTCGCCGCTTCCTCCTCACCACAGAGCCGCAGCGAACGAAATTTCATGACACCCCATGTCGGCCATTTCTGACATGACATGATTGGCCTTGCGAGACCTCTGCTGTCGCCAGCCTTTCTTTGATTCCCTCAACAAAGCATTTCCAATCATCTTCTTTCAGCCAGATACTTCTTTAATCCATTTTACCATACTGTTCTCTGACCCATCTGCGGGTTCACCGAAAAAAAAAAGAACAAGACCAAAACGCGCCTTCCACATCCGAGCCAAGATACCCACGATCGCTTCCTCTGACGACTCACTCCTCACCCCGACAGTACAACATATCACGCCGTTGGGAAACGGGAAAAGCCACGCCATTGTAGCAGTAGCAGCCTACAATACCAATCGACGACAGCTGCCATCGCGATCCGAAGCATGCGCTGAGGCCCCCCGCGATCATGGCCCCAGCCCTGCAGACCAGCGATCCTACGACCCATCAAGCCGCCGAGCCGCATCCGAACGAGGTCGAGCTTCCCTACCACAACGACGTCCCAGGCCATCCTGCCCCCGTTGGCGACGATGGCGTCCCTGATGCTTCGGTAGACCCCTCCGTTGTCATGCGCAAGCTGATGAAGGGCAAGGACAAAGAATGGGATGCTGTCGCGCCCAGCAAGTCGGGAAAGAAGCTGACCCTTCTCGAGTTACCGGTGGACATCTTGCGCTTGATTATTAAGGAGGCAAGTTGAACCGCTATCCAACGTCTTGGTCTGTTCCCCAATACTGACCTTTGCGTTTTCTAGATTACGCACACAAATGACCTTACCTCGCTCGCCTTGACCAACTCGAACCTCCACAATCTCGCGATCCCCCACATCTACTCGAGATTCGACATTGTCTGGCCCGACGCCACCCAGATGACCACGTCCGACTCCAAGAGCGTCGATGCTCTGACCTATGGTCTATCCACAATCTGCCTTGGCAGCTCCTTCGCGCATCGCACCCGCAAGATGCTCAACCCGGGCTACATCCCTACCTACGATTCCAACGTTCGGAGACAGAAGAACGACTACGCCAAATACACGAAAAAGTTCTCATTGGGCAATGGACCACAGGACTGGGTGGCGGAGTACATGATATCCAAGGAGAGCGGCAAGATGCTGGGCACGCTCGTCGCTCTGGCTGTGGAGAAGATGGTCAACCTGGAGTCTTTCGTCTGGGATATGCCGACTGGTGTCCTTTCCGAAATCTTCATGGCTCTGGCATCCATTCCGGAACAGAGCTCGGACGGCGATTCGAAGCTCGAAAAGGTTTGGGTGAGATGGCATGACAACACCGATGGTTCCAGTCCATCGCCATCCTCGAGTCCGCCTCCCCCGATTCCGCCCGTTGTCCCGCCCGGCAGCCACCTCACTACAGTCGGCATCCTGATTCCTTCGGACTCTTCCCATCCGGCACCGCGGGGTGCGATCCCGTATGCGGAAACAAATATCGAATTTCCTACCTTCAGTGTCTTGCCTCCGCTCAAGAGTCTGACTGTTCTCGACATCGACGAACTTGCTTACCTAGACGAGATGGCCATAGCGATCGAAAGATCGCAAGACCGCCTCCAAGAGCTTCGCGTCGGCATATCTCCGAGGGCCGTCTTCAAGGACTTTGTCCAAGCCTGGGATGGGCCCGACTTGCAGCAGATTGATCGGGATGCCAGATGGCCCGGTGAGAGCTCCATTGGCGAGAGGAGACTAGGCGGCGTTTTGGGCGTGCTTGTCGGCCGTATCTATGACATTCGCCGCAAGCCGGCATCGAAATCGAGAGACAAGACCCCTGTTGCGCCATCGCAAGCGACACAACAGTCCAATACCGCGACCCCTGTTGCGGATACCACGGAGACCTCGAATGCTTCGGAACAACCCAACCCGAACGACGAGCCGGAGGCTATGGACGAGGATAGCTCAGTCGAGCCGCTCTTGGTCAATACCGTTGCTCATTCAACGGGAACAACGCATGCCACAGATACCAACAGCGATGATCGAGCACACCAGGAGGAAAACTCACAGCCTGCGAAAGACCAGGCGATCAGCGGCGTGGACCTTGTGGATACATCTTCAGGGGTGCCGAGAAAGAGGCTGGACGGCAAGCTCAAGCTACGATCGCTCGAGCTCGAAAGAGTTCATTTGTCAATTCAAGTCTTCAGCCAGGCCTTCGACTGGACTGTCCTGACCACGTTGACCATACTAGAGTGCGCCCAGCACGATAGTCTCTGGAAGGCATTGCGGAAGCAATTCGCTCCTACTCCTATCGTCAGGCTCGGATCTCATCAACACCAGGGCAGCTCCAAGCAAGCTATGGAGTACCACCTCAACCTCAAGAGCATTCATACGGATATCACTTCGGCATATTTGATCAGCTTTCTCAGAGACACTCTAGCCCCCAACAGTTTAGAGGTCCTCTTCTTGCAGGATCGGAGGCGGCCCAGTGGGCCGCCAGCGGTGACCATAGATCAGATCTTCAAGGGAGTCATCAAGAAGCACCGGGCGAGCCTGCAAAAGATTCTTCTAGATAGTTCAGACCGGAAGCGTAGCAACAGCAATACTGCCCCAGACACCGCTCGTTGGCGCAACTGGGTGCTGCCGACAGACATGTTGCTTTACATGACCAGTGGGCGCATGGTGAGCCTCAGGGAACTCGCCGTTTCCTTACACTTTAAAGACTGGGTAAGTTGTTTCATTTTCATCTGTTTAGTATCTCGGAGCCGTGTGCATCGTATCACGGGTTCATTCAGAAACAATCATGGCCCTCATAACTGCCGTGATGCCCGGGGTTTCCAAAGAAGCAGCATCATAAGAGCTTCCAATGCTGACTACGACCACAGCACACATTCCTTCAGCGCTTGCCGAACACCCCTCAGCTGCGGTCTCTCAACCTACAGCATGTTGCTGACCATATACTCAGCAACTTTGACCCTCGAGAGTTGGCGTTGCAGATGGTGGATATTATCACCCTCCGCCCTGACATTCAGCTCTGTTACGTGGGCATTTCGACCAAGTGCTTCGAGATCCTGGAGAGCAAGCCAGCAGAAGAAAGCGGTGCTTCAACCACGAGTGTCGCGGCTGACCAGGGTGTTGTGGGCCACGAATCTGGAGTCGACGGCGAAGACGATGACGAGGAAGATGAGGTCCCTACGGACGACGACGACACGGCGAGTCAGGTGGATGAGGACACCTCTGAGGAGGAGACTGATGACACCCCGGGGAATGCAGTACATGCAGATGACTCGCAGTCGGAAGCATCTGCGGCGCAAGACTCGGACGACGATGACTCGATGCGAGACGCCGACTACGGCACCTCGCGTCCACGTCTCCGACTCCGTGAGATTCTATTCTATGACGACAAGGTCGCAATATTCAAAGCTCGGCATGGCAGACTGTGATGCAGTCTCTGAAATGGGGCTAGGAAAGAAGCAGTTGATGGGGAGGGGTGTTGGAAGTCCGCCAAAGGAATCATATAGATCAGGCCAAACTTGCGTACAACGGAGACATATGCAAATGGTACAGCGAAACGGTTGAATACCAAGGCGAAGGAGGTTTTGCAAAGTACGTTATCTTGAGGTTTTGGGAGCAGCCTTGTTTTCCCTCCCCCCAGTGGACTAGCCTAGTCGTCTTTTCCTTTACATCGATTGATATCCCCTCCCATGCTGGATAGCAGCGTAGGGAGCTTTGTTAAATCCATCCTTTTCTCTGGAATCTATCTGCCATGGTCCGCAACTCTCTTGTCTGTTGTTTACGTTTGGATCAGTAAAGTCAACCCGGTTTATTTGGTAGAAGGAACGGCATGCTTGTCATCATCTTATCAGTTTCCCACTCTGAAGGGCCCTCACGCCCAAGAGGTGGATGCCATGGTTCTTACTCTCTATCCATCACACTGACCCCGTCTAGTGGCTGACTCTGCAGACGGTTCATGATGCTTTGATACCAGAAAACAGATCTGCGGCAACGGTGCCCCCCGCACAAGCAGGTCTGGACTCCTGTCAAGGGGACATTCGTTATACAGAAACTTTTGCTAATCCGTCTAGGCAGGACAGATACGTGTGAACGACTAGGCTAGATCAAAGACTTGAGGTTTCATAACGTTGGGAACGTTACGTCCAAAGCCCCCCCTGTATTTTTGTTTTTTTTCCCGGTCGTTCTTTTCTCTGCATCTGTTCCACCCGCCCACCGGCGTCTATTTTTTACTCTTGGAGGGATTGGGGGAGATGAGATGAGTATTACAGAGACGAGATAGGCGCAGACCAACGGATAGGGTAGGAAAGGGGAGGGGCGTGTGCCTACGTATGGGACGGACGGAGGTACCTACCGTAGGGTTGGTCGGGAGGAAGGTGTTGTTTCCCTTGTACTCAGGAAACTTGCCACCCTCTTTCTTCAGATGTGAATGCAGATGAGAGGAGAGAGAGGGCATGGGATGTAAGGACGCAAGCAGACCTTGCATGCGTTAGCCGTTTCGTGCCTGCGGGAAGGAGAGGCTAGGGAAGGCAAGAAGCCACCACCACTATCACCGCCACCAGGGAAGCACGGAAGCTGCGTTGGGGTGGAGGAGAGACATCCGACTTTCCGTCTTCCGTGCTGTACGGCGTGGTGTAGCTACTCCCGCATTTGGGAAGTGGATGGATGTGACAAGGGGAGGGGGGGGTATCTGGATAGGTAATGTAGGCGTGGGCCAATCTAATGGTAAATTTGTTTCTTCATATCCCAAGATGAAGCGTTTGGTCGACATCAGGTTTGACTGTTATAGAGTGATATGTTGGACCTGTTGGAGTTGGAGACTACACCAAGCTACATGTGTGTAAGCATGTGACCTCCCCCAAGCCTACGGAATACTAAGATTGCCACTATGCCCTGTCTTTCTTGGAACCAACTTTGGCTTTGTAATTGCTTGGGAATGGGGGGAACCAAGTACCGCGAGTTTCTCATGAGTCCAGGTCAAGAGCTGTGAATGGTCTGATGGAGAGAGGGGAGGGGGTAATGGAGGGTATCTACGGAACTTACCCTGCTGTCACCACACCCACCAATCCCCCTTCTCTCGTTCTAGTCCTAGTCCTAGTCCTACTTCCTCGTCCAATGATGAAGTTCTTCTCCTTGTATACCTTAACCCGGTCTCATGTAAGTGTACAAAAACCGTTGAGGGGAGGTGGGGAGAAAACCCAGAAAAAAAAAGTCCTAAGTCTAAGCTTGATCGAGAGGGGGGATACAGACGTCCATCGATATGAAGGTGGGCAGAACTAGACCCTTTCTCCTTCCCCCTTGGCTGCTTTTACTTCCCCTTCTTCCCGCGGGAAACCGGCGGGTTCGAAAGGGAAGGTAACGTAGGCACCAATGTGAAGTGATGAGGCGAAGTGCAGAAGCCAGAAGTAGGAAGGACTAGATGAGGCAGATCTCTTCTGTTCTGGAAGTATTCTGAACTCCCCCTTCCCTTCATCGCTCCGAGTCTCGGGGGAGATACATTTGCCCTTCTTCATACGCAGCCTCCCCGCCATCCCCGTTGGCTTCGATGTTAGTCACGGAGTACAGGTATCTTTACATGTATACCTGTTGTTAGTTCTGCGGAACCCCTGCGAGAAGCGGAGTTCCAGAGCACCCTCTAGGTAACGATACAACATTCTCGGCCTCCAACAAGCTTAACTGGTCCTAGGCCTGGAGATAGACGGGGAAAGAGAGAGAAAGTGAGGTGGGGGTGGTCGTGGCGGTGATGGCGGTTCGTGGTGGTGGTGGACAAGGGGGCTTGTGCACTGCGGCAGGAAGGAGGAAGAAGCAGGGGAGAAGCAGGTCGAGATGAGTGTATGTGAGTGGGATATCCGTACGGATACAGAGAAGGGTGGGAGAAGGAAAAAAATCAAACCCAAGAACGAGGGAAAGTAGTCAAGCGGTAGGATCGAGATCCTTGCCCTTTTCCCACTGAGACCATGGCGGAGGAAGACCCAAGTGGGATGGGGATGTGGAATTATGGATTGGGATGTACGGATGCTCGAGGAGAAAAGTGATGTTGGGGGTGACGAACGAAGAACTCCCTCTCCTTTCCTTTTTGTCTATGTCGTTACTCCCTACTCTCTCTCTCTCTCTCTCTCTTTCTCAACCTCTTTCGTGTACCCTGCTCATCTCCTTGAGAACGAGTAGATCAATTTACAAGTCATCAAAAACCTACAGCTCGAGGAGACGGGACGACGACATGGAAGCCTAATACAACTTGATCAGTCCAGTCGAAGTCGTCCGACGACGAGGCAGTACCCGTACATAGCTAGAGGAAGTCATTTCGTTTGCATGTTCAACAAGGGGATGCTTACGATTTACCTACTGCCAAGCCGGTAAACCAAATATTGGACAGATGAAGAAGGCCAAGGAGAATGACCTCCCACGTTCAGGGAGTAATACATGGCCTCCATACATGGTCTCCTTGTAGGGCTGCCCTGAACAGTCGTTGTAGACTCCGAGCACTGCAGAGGCGGAGATCCCGCCATATGGATGGCCCTTGACATGCTGTTGCCTTACTTTGGGGACTCCGCAAAGGTAAGTAGCACCGAGAGAATGGGACTGTTAGGACTGCTTGAGCCGGTCAAGGTATCTGAGGATGTGCATCCCGGTCCCAGAAACTTCCCCCTTGGGATGTGGTATTTGAAATATTAAGAGAGGCTGTGGTATCTCTAGGATTGTAATGAAAGGGGTCCTGCTTGCGGTGTAGCCCAAAACCTCATTGCCTGGCACGTAATGAGCAAGGTCGGGACTCGGGGAGAGGTCATTTCCAAACCGGGTCGAGCTTCAGTCAAGACTTTGATAGCTACAGGAGCCCAGAACACGGCCACCCCTTGATCAAGGCTCCTTCGTTTGCCTGCTTCGTCACTGTATGGAAATTGTTTGCAAGGCGGACTTACTGTGCTTGGCCCTTGTTTTTTCCACCCACCGTCTGTTGTATGTTCTCTTATGATAGAGCACCTAGTCCGTAAAGCCGGACCTAGGTCCGTCTGACATGAGCTGTCCCGGGGATGATACAGGTTGGTCGATGAATCCTCCTCATCGACCGGAATGGCGGCATTGTGCGCTGGCTTCGCTGTACCTTGCGCCACCCATCGCTCGACGGATCCTTCCATCTTGGTCTTTCCCCTCCCCCATTTCTTGTCTACACCCTCTCTCTCTCTCCCCCCGCGAAGACTCGCACTCGTTCGTCGGCCCAGCGTTTGGCCCGGACACTAATGGAGCACACCCGCGCTCCGTGAAATCATAATCGAGCCATCGGGATGTTGTTCACCGTCCAAAATAGCAACAAGATAATTCTGGAGCCTAGAATCTGTCATTCCCCTCAATGCCCGGACGATGTGCGGTGGTTGGTCCGTGAGGGCCATAGGATCGACCTCCCTGCGCAGGTCACCGCCTCGTTACCACCGGGACCCCAGCCACAGTTTTGGCAGGATCGCGTGCATACCGCTCAAGCCACGCTCGCGGACCCAGAGAGCGATTATGGAGTTGAGGTTGGCCAGCTCGGGGTCGGGCTGAGGTGAGAAGAGATATCTAGGACACACAAGGCTGACTTTTCCCCCTTCGTGAGACGGGCTTTTGAGATGTGGGACACACAGAAGGCTCACGTACATTCTTCCATGTCGTGCCCTTTGATACACATCGTGCTTCCAAATCGTGACTGCCGCCAGAGGCGGGGGCGTCCGGCTTACCAACCCGTGACGGCGACAACAAGACGCTTCAGCATTGTACGCATACTGCGAATGCAAAGCTTCAAGATCGGATATTTTCGCCGCTAGTCCCTCGGACGTTCGCCGCTTCCAAGTTGAGGCATGCCAGGTCGTCCACCACCGTCAGCCACAATGCATCAGTCGTCTAGCCCTACAAGCCGTGCGCCCCCTTACCAATTCCCCGGACGGCCGTATGGTAGACCGCCCACGAGGTCCGGAGGACCTGAGGCGAGACCAAGTGCTCCGAGTCACATCGGCGTATGAGCCGATTCGGCCACATCCACGGGGTTAATCTGAAAGTCCGACCGCGAACGCAAGAAGGTACCTATCGGTGCTGCGATAGCCAAAGTTGTCCTGTGGTGTCTGAAGATGCTGACCTGTTGTCTACGAGAGTTCCTTGCTGACACTCGTAACGCGCTTGCCGAACTTATTTTCGTTGATTATAGCGATGGGCACATTCATCTGACTTGACCACCGCCATGATTTGTCTGGAGATAATGATAGAAAACAGATGCCATGCGTCGATAATGTCCGAGGTTGGCACTGCAATTCCAGTCTATCTTCGTTTCCACACATAAACGCCGCATCGAGTCGTCGGCGGAGGGCACCGACTACAAGTGGTCAGATGCCGCCACCACAACTGGCTGGCCAGACACATGCTGTGCATCGAAGAAAGCGCGACAACCATACGAGCTAAGTGCGCCATTGCAAGCGGGTGGTGCGTCGCCAAGTTGATCGATCTCTCGACATCAGGAGGGGGGCGTGCCTCTGGCACGTCTTGATCATGCCCTCGTAGGGCGCTTGGTGCGAGACGTTGAATCCTCCCGATGAGCCAAATCATCCATGCTCGCATGAACCTGATTAAAGGCGTTCGGGATGGATCGCGCCGTTACATTTCACGACCAGAAGCCACGCAGGCCAGGCCAGGCCCGGTCAGATTGTAACAATGTTTTTTTTTTTCGCACTTTTGCGGGGTTTTGGGTGAAGGCGATTGGCAGGTTCGGGTTGATATATCAGGTCCCGCCATACCAAAGTGCCAAAAGAGTCGTAAGCAGAGTGGACTTGGACATCCGTACAGAGTGCAAAAGTAATAATTCGTTAAAGTCCCCATAGTAGGGAAGGAGCCAGGGTCTAACCAACGATCGTGGATAATGTGGTGTGTCTGTCTACTCGTCTGCGGCACAGCCGCAGCATCTCAAGTCCACAGGGCAACTGGATGTAACAGTGCTGGGCCACGTCGAGCGTGCAGATGACGGCCATATGTCAATTTGGATCTAGTGCTTCAGCTCATCTTTTGACAAGGGGTGTGCTGCAAGACGCAGTCTTTCCGTTTGAGAGTGTACGGGCGAGCGTATACTGTTTTGGAACCTGACGCTGCATGTCAGACTTTGGAGCAACCCAAGACGCAGATGAAGAGCGGTCGGTCCCTCGTAGGGCTGGGAGGAACGCTTGGGGGCGGCAGCGGAAGGATTCTGAGTGTGTCTAATGGCCAGTATGTACGAGTGTACGGAGAAGAGTTCCGTTGGTCAAAGGTGTAAGCGTAAAATACGTGACGAGGGCGTATCCGTGCGGCCACGTACAAATGTCCCGTCTGCCTGGCCAGCCACGGTACCGGCTGGTCTACGAACAGACCATGACGTCGTGGGGGAAGTACTCGAATTTGGCGTTAGTCGGATATCTCTTTGCCAAAAAAATTGTCGGATCGAAGCCATTCGGGTACAAAACAGCGACTCTTCGTGATAGTTACAGTTTGAGAATTTGAAGGTACTTGAATCTTGGATGAAGTCGAGGCGGCGAAAGTCGTGCCGCCCCTCCGCATATCTTGTCGACGAATCGGCAGGAAGAACACGCGGCTTTTCTGGCTGCGCTCGTGAATACGCAGAGCAAACCAGAAGAGGCAGTTCAACCCTTTTCCCACCATGAGCATGCAGTCTGTCGTGTGGTGTGACCTATGCGTCTCGTGCAGGCAGCCCTAAATCGCTCCGCCCTACAGGGCCAGAAGACGTCGGGTACTCGGCGTACGCAAGAACACCTGGCTGTTTCCAGCCATTCTGTGAGGTCTGTGAAGCCGCAATGATATTGGCGGCGTTTGACCTAGAGACGCCATGGTTTGAGGCACGGCGCCGCCATTATCGCATTTCTAATCTGCTTACATATAACGACGAGCGCCCGCAACTCAGCCTATGATGTCTGTGCTGCCGCGAAAATTCCGGAGGTCGGCCGAGGGTTAGAAGAGCTATTGGTGGTTGGGCGTGGCCTCAAACCTGAATCTTCCAGTAAACGCCCGCGTCTTGGTTTCAATGTGAGCCTTCAGGGCATTAGAGCTCATTCGAGCCTTCATAAGGTCGGAGATTTCGACAGCCGGCCGGCGACTTTGACCTGGTCGAGGTGAATCCGGGGTAAGAGGCACAGTCCTCCCCCCATCGGCCAAGCATTCCGAAGAGTCGATCAGGCTAACAGTAAGGTTTTCGTTGAAAGACTGTGTCATTTGGCTGGGATTTGGTGGACCTTGTAGCATCATAGATTCGAACCCCTTGGAGTAACATGGCAGATTTGGTAATTTGCGCATAGAGGCCGTTTCTGGCAAATCATCAGGAGAAAGTCATGATCTGATCCCCCAAGAAGTCTGGGAAATGCAAAACCCCGAAGAGTCGGTGACGCTAACAATTTTAAGGTAGCAGACGAGCGCCATTTCCATCTCTTTGCAGCTCCGTGTCGCAGTTGTATGTGGGAGGGCGGAGAGAATCTCAATCAAAGTGGGATTCTGTGGTGCACACTGCACGCATGTGGGTTTCTTGGTCGGCGGGGATGTTCACAGGGCAGTGTTGTATGCCGCGTGCCGTGTGCTGTAGAACAACGGGGAACATGAGGAGTCCATAAAACACCCCCAGCCCGGTGGGCTGCAGCCGCGTGAGCTGAGAAGAGCAAGATGCGAAGGTGCAAGACACTTCTGTAATTTCTCTGGCGAAATTTCTCGGGCCCGGAATATGAAACGCAATAGTAAGCAGTACGTTGTCCTGTGAGGGTTTTCATTTCGTGAATGTTCGTGGGTGGCAGCGTCGTCGGTGCAACCGTACAGTGAGGGCCCCTGACCTCGCGTGCCGAGTGCTCTCGGCAATGTTTGTTTTTACGACCTGGTAACCTCGGCCTTTTCCTCATTGAGTAGTTTACGACGGATTAACTGCCAGGTCGTGCACTGTGTTCGTTGCTTTTGAAGGGTCGTCCCAAGGGGTCCATCAAGCTGGCCATCCATACTGTCGGAGCTTGGGGGCGAGTCCCGAGATTTTGGAGCTCACTCGTCCGTGGCCTGCCGCATGAGCAGTGAGCTGTTCAAAAGTAAAAGTGCCAGGCAACCCTGGTCGTGTCGTCTGGTCTCCATTTTGATGGGCAGCCACCAACGTGGCAGTCGTTTCTTCACGTACTTCAGGGGGTCAGGATGCTAACTGCACTCGCGTCATTGCTGCTTGGGGGGTGAGCTTCTGCTGTGTATTCGTGGTGATTCGGGTTATCCGTAGGGATACAGCCAGTCCGGGTCGGGTACGGAGTGGTTATTGCAACCTTGCTCAATGTGAATCCGTTGGACTCGGACTTGGCATTCGTTGAGCAATACTCCGTATGATGATGAAAGCTAGACTTCAATCGTCGACAGCCAGAACTCAGGCGTGGGGAGCCAGCGGTGAGGCCGAGATTTACATCGCTCGCCACAATCGGTAAGTTGGCGATGTCTCCTTCTGAGAGTGACAGGTGTTCCCTTAGCTTCTAAGAGTCCACGCTGATGACGAGTTTGGGGCGTGGGTAAGAATGCAGCGGTCCCAAGACTGAATTCAAGCGTAACATTGCAGCTTGTCGTTCATCGACTCGAACTTGTGTTGGACCTCAAGATTCGTCCAAAGTTTCGCAGTCTTTCCCAGTCTGGCAACTCGTAAATCTGGCCAACGATTGTCCGACCGTCATCTTCGATCTTTCCCGCTTCTTGCGTCTTCCATGCGCATGCGTACATCTCACATCATCAGCGCAATGATCCCCGATGACTGTGGGAGTGATGAGAACTCAAAACGTCGTATGTGGTGCTCTTCCGCTCTCACAGGCATGGGTCTCGCGAGTAAACAATCACTTCCGTCAAAAATGCTTATTGTATTTGCATCTGGTAAAGGCTCCGAATTTGAAGGGTTTCAACAACCTGTCATCGGACCCAAGCCAATGGTTTCGCAGCTTGTCGCCGATTCGGCCCCTGTGCTTCCTTGGCCGACAGGTAACATCTGGCCGTTAGCACGGCTTCACCCTGCGGCATTCTTCTATCCCTCTCGATTTGAGTTTCTCAGCTTCTGCGGTCATCACATTGTGTCCGAACGCTTTTCTTTTGGGCGGCAAATTAATGAGCCACCGGGGATCGATCTCGTGGCTCGAATGCTGTCCACTGCTTTACTTGTAGACACACACATGCGCGCCATGGACCAGGCCGCATGGTGCAAAGAGATGAGCCAGATATGAGCCAGAGACGATTGGCTGAAATAAACGCTGACCGTCAATGCCATCGGATGTTTCCACCGAGCAAGGTGTGATATGGGTCGGTGTTTTGTGATCCAAAAGCCAGGGAATCATAATCCTAGCATCCGTAAAGATGCTTCGGATATGGTACTGTGTAGCCAAGGAGGAAGCTAGAGTTGGTGAAAACAATATGGTCACCAATACCAACCCAACCCAACCCAACCCCGAAGTCTAAGCCTTGTGGGATCAATATCGCAATAGCAGGGACTTTCCCGGCAACGTCGACGATGGGTTGCACATCGTGGGCTGCTCGCTGTATGACTTAAGCTCTCGGTACCCGTCTAATGTGTCAGTCGGGAGACCTCCGCTTGGAATGTGTGGCTCATCTCATAGCCTGAGCTCGTTGCTGATGTGAGTAGGGTGACTGGCGTTAGTACTGTCCACAAGCCCGGGCCTTAATAGGGCCGCACTTCGTCCGAAGGTGTAGCTCTGGGGGGTCCAGCTCGAAGCGGCCTAAGAGCGACGATCGTGTTTTGCGTCTCAAGGCAGCAACAAAATGCACATTGGACCAGCTGGCCCTAGGTCTCTCCGTCTAATTTAGAATATGCAGCACTTTCGGGGCGCCAACCAAGCGGCTTGAAATGTTGCCGGGCGTCAGATGCATTTCGATCACGACGGAAACCAGCCGCTACATGAAGGCATTGGTGTAAGACCACGGATGGCCACTGGAGTGACTTGAAACAGCGATGAGCGGCGAGGGCTTGCGACAGGTGGAATGTCGCCAATGGTGACAGTCGACGTTGGCTCAAGTGAGAGTGGCGTCAAGACTCGTGGGTGAGGTGTTCCAGAGGGACGGACAGCTCACAGTATGCGGGTATGGTAAATAGCTACAATAACGCTGGTGGTGGTGGTGGTGGGACTGTATGAGTGCTTTTAGAACTCTAGAGTCGAGTTGGAGAAGCAGTTGTGCGATGCGAGGACCCTTTGTTGCGGCGGTTGAGTTGTACCGCTGCAGATGTGCTGTCTGCTGACGGCCAAGCAACACCCTTCATCGGCAATGATGTGCATCGTCCTGTCACTCAATGAGACTGGGCCGACGACAAATGTTGTTTGAAGGCTCTTCCCCACAAGTTGGAGATGATGACATGGCGTCGATTCGAGGGGGACTTTTGTCGGCTGTTGAGCGGTAGAAGCTTAGGGAGGACGACGGCGCATCTGATGAACGCCCGCGAGAAAGAGCTTGAGAAGGGCACTGCAAAACCGAAAGACCAAGCCACGCCCCGAGTTCCCGGGCGAGCCCTGTCCGTGATTTAGTTTAGTGAGCTTCGAAACTGAGTTGGGTAATGCTAGGAGCAGGTAGCGCGGCAACGATGCGGTAGGCCTAAGGCTCAGTGTCTCCTCATCCCAGCCCTAAAGGGCGTCAAGGTGCGGGCGACGGCGTCATGTGCAGTCTGTTAGTGCGTCGGGAAGTGACCGAGGTGCGATTTGGGCGAAAGACGTTGACTGAGTAGAGTGACGAGCTAGACGTGGTCAGGGCCAAAGGGCGCCCCATGATTCGGACAACAAGCGACTGAGGACGCTGACGCTGAGGAGACGAGATGATCAACTACTGCGTAGACAGCCGAGCTGGACTGACAGGCTTGACGAGGTGCAGAAGGATGAAGCGCAGCCAAGGACTGTAGAGAAGACTCTGCCTAGAGGCGATGCAAACATGCGAGAATAGCGGCGATGTGATGGGCGGGGGCCGGAGCCTTGTCGTCGCGATGGCAGTGCAGCGGAGTCATCTGTATCCGTACGGATACTGATAGTGCGGTGAAGGCAACCTCGAAACGTTTTCCATTCCAACGACTTGGATTTTCTTCGCTTGCTCAGGTTGCCGATGGCTGAGTGAAGCGATTGGGCGGCTTGGATGACTGGTCGTGCGTGCTCTGTACGAAGATCCGTACGAAGCCCAGTGGGAAAGATGCAACTGTATCTGTTTTCGTATAGACACTCCCACCGGGACCTCAACCAGTGTGGTAAGGACGATACGACGGGAGGTACTTCGTACCTTAGCCAACGTTGACCGGGGAGGGGTGGGTGTGACTGTAAGCCGTTGACGTTACCGGGCCTGCCCTTGCTGCTTTGGATCTTGACGACTGCCTAAGATACCTGGCCTGGCCTGGCCTCGCCCATCCGCACCAAGATCTCGGGACCGGACGAGGTCAAAGCCAGCCGGCGTCTGGCAGTAGCCACCCAGGGGGTAGTCTGCCGGCGGGAGAGAAATTGGAAGGGAGATGGGGGTTGAAGACTGTCAGTGCCTGAGGTGAATGAGCCTTGCCAAACGCAGCTGCATCGCTGAGAGGTGGGTTTGCGTCCGTACTCCGTACGCAGTAGGTGTGGTCTGTGCACCCCTTCCGCTTCTGAGCACCCAGTAAGTATCCTTACTCCGCGTGTATTGACCAGCGGAGCGGCGGCGGCAGGCAATTTCCAACTTCCATGTCCAACTTCCACCTCTCGAATCGCAGGTTCAAGGTTGTCACTGCTCAGGCCAGCAAGGTGTACGGAGTACGTATCCGTATACCGAGACCGGATGCCTTAGGTAAGCCCAGTGAAGTGCTCAGTACCTATCCGTACTTGCTCATAGATCCACTTGGAAGTCGGACTTAGCCCCGTTCAGCACGGTCTGTCGATCAGAAGCTGACCTAAGCACCTCGAGCACGCACGGCACACTGCTTGGCATGGCAGCAAGCTGGGGTTGTTGACCTTCATCTGACATCAATGGGAGAACGATGTTCGAAGTATCTGTACAGAGTAGACATCCAGAGGTGTCCACAATGTAAGATGATGATGAGATAGAAACACCAACGGAGTTGTTGCAGAGAAGCTCGTCAGAACGGAATGAGCTTCTGTCAATTGCATCAAGCTGAATTGATAGGCGGCCTCGAATAATTCAGCCCAACTCGGCCACGGCAGCAGCAACGGCCCCCGGAGCAGAAAATTCCCGTAAGACCTAGAAAAGCAAAAAGGAAACTCACTCATCGTCTGACTGGATGTCTCCAAAAGAAACTCGATACAAGGTGCAACCACGGAAGGCAGAGTACACGGTATATCCGTACCTAGTAGGTGATGACGGGTTAGGCTCAGGCAGGAGATTGGTCAAATAAGCCGAGACGCCCGAGTTCCTCACCTCATCTCACCACCTTACCTTGGGGAATTTGGGCACGAGTCACTATTTTGTCTTACGGATATTTACAGTGTGGCGTCCAGGTCGGTCTGGGAAACGTTATTGGCTTGTGTCTCTATGCTGACGCCTGACGGACGCTATGTGGTCGTCCCGCGCGGGAGAACTTCCCAGATCCATGCCTTCCATTTGTTACCTTGATCATAAGGGAAGGAATGCATTTGTCGCCGCCCAACGACTTCCATCAAGTTTTGTCATGGCCGAGGTACCTTGCTCAGGTCGTCCGACCTCCCGCTCCTGGAAAACCAAGAAGAAAAGAAAGTTGTCCCAATTTTGGAAAGACGAACAAGTGATTAGAAGGAGGTCGGGAAATAGAAGAGAGCGGCAGACGAAAAACAGAACAGAAGCCAATTATTGACACACCCAAGACACCCACCCACATCTTGGACGTGTGTTGAACTTGGGACTTTGACATTGAACAGCAAAACGCCTAGCGCACGTAGCGCACACACTGCGGCTACCCTGGCGCAGACATCTCACACGCTCGTCTAACCTTCTAAACCGAGCCATTGCAGGTCCCATTTGCCGCTGCGGTACCGGTCGGATTGGAGGTGGTCCTAATCTAAGGTATTGGTAATCCGTCATCCGAATGTACATTGCCCCAACATACCTACTGCGTAAGGTTCTCCGTACGGAATTCTAGTGCTCATCATCTTCCGTACACCCACTTCCATGTCTTGCCCCGGATACGGACTCGGAGCAATGAGAGACGACACAAAGCCGATGCGCGGCGGGGTTTGTCCAGTTGTCAACAACCCCATATCTGACGGATACCCGTACAGTATTAACTCATTTAGTCGTGGTTTGCGCTCGCCCAGGTTCAGTCATATTGGTGAGATACGGATACTCCGTATGGATTGAATGAGAAAGAGAGCCCAGACTGTGGACACGGGATACCGTTGAGCCACTTCCATATCTACCGTCGGTACGATTGTCAGTAATGGCAGGCAGAGTAGGTACCTTAGACTGAGGTGGACCTACCTTACCCTTACTTCCTTTACATTAGGTAGACGTGGCATGCAAGAACGGAGTCCGTATCCGTAAGGTAAGGTACCTTCCATTGGAGAATATTCGCAAGGAAACAGTCGTCGTGATTTCCCTTGCTCGTCCCCAGGGCGGCACCTTCCCTACCTTGCCTCGCCTTACTGTGCCGTACCGCCCGTAGGAACGTACAGGTAAGTATCTACCTACCTGCCTTACGCATACCTTGGGAAATACGTACTCTTCCCGGTTCCTCATGAGGCGCTCCTCTAGACCCGAAAAGGATTAGCCCCAAACGACCCACACAGAACGTACCTCACCTCGCGCTTTCCCGAACACGCACCGTACGTTTCCACTCCGTCTTGGACGACGAACGACAGCTCCATTTTCCAAGGCCTTTTTTTTTTTGGTCTCCTTCTTCTCCAATTCTCGTCTCACCCAACCTACTCACGTTCTCTCCACCACCATATCCAAGACCGGGCCATATACGGACAAGCAGCGACAAGGATCCCGATCCTTTGTTTTCAACCTCTGGGGGGGGAGTTCAATGGACTTGTCCTTCCCTCGCCATTTGCCGCACCTGGTTTTCACGTCCTCCTCGGGTCCCCTCTCCTGTCCGCCTTCCGTTTCGCGCACACGTCCTGCTCGAGTAATCTCTCTGTTGAACGCCGCCTGCACTTCGATGGAGACGGTCAACACCCCCCAGCCCGTTCTAAACCGTCCTTCCGTGCCAATCTCTCGTCTTCACCTAACCTATCCGGGCATCTTGTTATTCTGCAATGCAGCGGTATGGATTGGCTTCCGCTTCCGCTTCCTTCGTTCCCAATTTGAGTCGCCCGTCGCTGTGGGCACTGCTCAACCCGCCCGTTGAGAGCATCTAGTGTCCGAGTCCTTCGTCAAACGGTTTTCTTCTATCGAAGCAGTTCATTCTTCCATCTGGAGTTGGAAATTCAGTACCGGTGGCTTCCCGGTCTCTGACTTGCTGTCGATGCTGCCAAGAAAACAAACGAATCGAAAAAGCAAAAAATTGGAAAAAAAAAATGAATGAAAAAAAAAAAAAACGGCTCATGTCGTTGGACAGGGCAGCGTCACAGCCCATCGGACCAACATCAAGTTCTTGCTCTGCCTGTCCAATGCCGGGCTAGGTTTGCTACGCAAAACCGCCGTCCCGACGTACTGGCTCCCGGCCCAACACTGCCATTTCCTGGGGCCCAGTGGTCAGTCACATACTGCAACTTGGACAACCTGAAGAGGGCATGGATACACAGGATGCCACACACACATTCAACCACACATAGTCTTCCTCGGCACACACACACATACACATACACACATACACACACACACACCGGCTGCTAGGTCCAGCATCCTAATACTACATCATTTCAACTTTCCTCGGTCTTCTCTTGCGCGCGCAGCGGTTCCTCATTCCTAGCTTGCTGGAATTACACCTCGTCGTATCGATCATCGAAGACTCTCTCAACTCAGGGTACTCATACAAACACGGCCCCTGGTTCGCCGTCAACGTCGAAACTGCTGCCCCAATAGGGAATAAGGTCAATTGATGTCCCATTACCCACTCTTTCCCGATCACAGACCGGCTGGGACGGGTTCAAGTCAAGGGCTTCCCTCCTCGTCACCAACATTCGTGTACCGTCGTCTTCCCTGAGCCCTTCCCCTTGGCCCAGTATGTACCAACAGAACAGACCCAGAAACTAGAAACCCAGAACCCAGTGGCCCGTCTCTGACGGCCAGCCAGGGCTCGAGCGATGTCATCCATGATCCATCCTCTACTTTCCACACCTCTTTCACCTTACAGTGCCTTGGTGCGCACTAGCCATAGCCCTGCAGCCCGCCCCAAGCTTGAAGCAGGGACGTTGACCAGGGCGTTTTCGCTACGGCTGCCAATGCTTTTGCTGGAAATGCTGGAGCCTATCGATCCCTTCCCCGTCCCCGCCACAGCCCCATGTCTTTCTTCACTCGTCAACTGTGCCCATCTGCCCATCATTCCCCTCTACCTTAGCAACCCTCACTCTCACTCTCACTCTCACTCCCCCAGGTCCTATTAATTATGTATTGCATGTCACTCTCACTCGCTCACACACCTCTAGCAGTGTGCCTCCGCTCTGCGCGCTTTCGCTCTTACACCATGCGCTAGGAATGCTCTCGCCCGCTCTCACCCGTGTTTACACCCCCTCCCCTCTCCTCAAGCAGTAGTCTGCCCTCGTTCCCCATCTTACAATACACGCCCCCCTCGTCAACTTGGTTGTTGCGATCACCCCCCCCCCCACCCCCCATAACATAACAGTATACACACAATGGGCGCTGGTACCTTACTCTGTTCTCCATCCTGGTCACTCAATTCCATCTCTCTTCTTCTTACCCTGAACCCCTGCCCACCGTCTGGACTTACCTCCATGTAGTGTAGCTTGTCTCTTTGAACATGCCGTCTTGTGTCTTCTCTCCTCTCATGCGATGGAAAAGGTACGTCCAGAGGTCGGGATCTAGCTACCATCTCCACAGCTTTCACTGCCCGCTTACCATTTATAAGACAGTGCCCGCTCCTGGGCCTGTGAGGCTGAGATCTTTAACCTTCTGGTGATATCCAAGATTAGCATCTGTGATCTCGTTGAACCGAAAGCCTCCACCTGGCAAGCAAGCAATCCTTCCTTCTCCAGACCTCAAAATCGTTGCCTGATCGCACTGGTCTCGTTATAAGTCGTCGATCCGGGTCTTCGAGTATCAAACATCGTCACTGCCTTGATACAACTCTTCAACTGGTAACAACGCTCGGACATACACATCAAAGGTAGACTCTTGCAACAAGTACATCTCGACATCAACTCTTCGACAACCTCGCGCGTATGTGCCATCCAGAGTTTCTTCATCGTCATCCTTCTTCTTTATCAATGGCTTCCAGTTTTTCTGAGCAGGGTTGCGAGGACTCTTACTCACTTCCACCCAGATCCAGAGCAGAGAGCCGTGTATCAGCTACTGCTGCTCAATTCGCCAACATCCAACTAGTCGATTCCCCCAGAACGCTACCGTTAGAGTCCAGCCCCTCGGTCAGGTCTGAGGCTCTCCATTCCTCCGGCTATATCAGTCCCAACCCGCCCAACTCCGCAACCTTTCTCTCAACCTCCAACTCACAAGGATACTCGCCCTTCCCTCTCTTACCACCCGAGATCTTGAACGCATCAGAGTGGAACGAACACGAGGTACATCACACATCGGATTCGACCCCTCTAGTCAGAGTGGACCCCGCCCAGGACTACTCTTCCAACCAGTCCTCTCCGCCACTGCGAACTGGAGCAAGCATGAGGTGCGCTTCAAACATTGTGCCAACCACTAGACTATAAAGACCGTCTAACACTTCCTCCTTCTTCAGCACTGTTGCTATTCCATTTGACCCTTCATTCACCATGGGAAGCCGATCAGCATTCACTTGGCCTGGTAACTAACCCTCCACTTCAACTCCCCTTTGGTAACCTTCTGGGATCCTCTAACATGCTCAACTTGAAGGTCTCGACAACCCCGAAGCAAGCGGATCACTACTCGGACACAACCTCTCTTCTCTCGGACATCATCACCAAGACGCCAGCCTCACACCCCCAAGTGGATCCAGATCAGTAACAGCAAGTCCACCACGGGGAACCTTGACGCCAGAGCAGAGGGAACTGAAGAAGCAGAGGGACATGGCTCGTCGAGACTCCAAGACATCATCACGCGTCCACAGAGCTGGTAGCAACCCTTACATTCATTCGCCTCCCCTCAGCCTACCCGACGTCTCTTCAACGATGGGCGTACCCGTGTACACGACAGCACCGGCGCCGATTTCCCTCCTCGCAGAGCCAACAACGTCAATGGGATCATCATCATACCTCCCATCGTACAGCCCACCTCTATCAGACCATGGCTACCAGAGCGGGTACCCGCCAATGGCTCAGGCCTACAGCATGGGTGGCATGGATTACTCCAACCAGTTCCAACCACCAGCGCAATACGGGTATGTTGTGAGAAACCAACCGAAAGGCGGTTGTGCAGGAAGACGTTTTGATACTAATAATAACCAATGCAGAAGCCGACACTCGATGCCTGTTGGACAAGACACGAGCCTGATGTACGGCGTACCTCCATCGATGGGTCCCGGAGCCCCGGACCAAGGGGGGCACGTCAGAGTGGTGCAGAGCCGGCCTAAACCTCAGTGCTGGGAACATGGTTGCAACGGAAGACAATTCTCTACCTTTAGCAACCTCCTGAGGCACCAGAGAGAAAAGTCTGGGCAGGCAACCAAGGCGACATGCCCTAATTGCGGCGCAGAATTCACGAGGACGACGGCAAGGAACGGCCACCTTCTCCACGACAAATGCAAGCAGCGCCGAAACACGTGAGTGCTGTTGGTTGTTGGAACCAGCAGCACGCGAAAGGGGAGAGAGAGCCAACAATAACAACAAGAACAACAAAAGTCCCTTTTTTCCAACACACACGCAAGCCACGCAAGGACCTTACGGCCGTGCTATTTGCGGAAGGAGGGGGGAAAAACCAGATCCGTTTTACCATTCGAACTGTACATGTTTGGGGCATTGGGCATTTACTTGAAGAGGAAGCGACAGAAGCAGACGTGAGAGGAGAGTTACAAAAATATCGCTGGAAAGGAGGGGGAGTCACATAGGTACAACATGTCCAATGAGCTTGTCATTGGCACACCTTTTTTTTGGGCGGAGTTTATTTTTGACATTCTTTTTTTTCGGTTTGTCTGGGTTATTTGGATTTGGATTCCGGGGAGGTGTTTTTTTGGCTTGTTTTCGCTTCTTCATTTTTTTCTCGTTCTCACGACAATTTTGGAAGGCTTTTTCGGCAGTAGCAGCACCAACTGCTCAAGACGCATATATTCTTCTTCCTCATTTTTCGATATCGATGTCGATAAATCTTGAAATATACCCTTTCACTAGCGTCACAAGAACGCATCTTTCTACCTCATGCTCCAATTTCGCCTTTTCGGTGCGCGCAACATCAAGGTTGGGAACATGCGACAACTCTTCGTCGAAATTGAAATGATCAAATCCGTCAAAACAGAAATAAACCATTGTCCGTCTTACCAACGTCGTCTCGTCTCGTCTTACACTCTCATCTGTAAGACGGACATGGCACCCGGCTTCCGTGGAGAAACCCTTTTTTGGGTGGTTATTTTTGATAGTAATGAACAGTGCGTGCAGATCCAGCGGACATGACATCCGAACTTTGTTAGGTGTGAGAAAACAAATCTTGTTGCCTTGAAGGATAAATTACAAGCATCCTTGAACGTGCACGTCATACTGAATAACTTTTTCTGTCTCGCTCTCATATCCGTCTTATTGTTAGTCTACATGTGAAAGACATTACTGGGGTGTCTGGCGGAAGTGGTGAAGCGGGAGAAGGAAAAAAAAGAAAAGAAAAAAAAGGCCTCTGCAACCCCAGCGCTTTTTCGCTTGAACCCTTGGCAATCTCGAAATTGGGTGAGTCGCCCGCAATCGGCAGCCCGCAATGTCTCTCAAGTTCCCTCACTCACACCCCACCCCTTTCTCTGTTTCGGGCATTTGTTACCACCGACCGTGGGAAACGACCAAGCTATCCGAGCTAGGGCCCTTGAAATTCGCGAGAGAGAGAGGGGGCAAATGGCCACTATCCAATACAATGGGAACTTGAAGAGGGGTGGGCCCAAGGAACAATTGTTATTGTTGGCGGCCGCCAAACGACGCCGTGACGCTGGGTCCCTTGTCAAGGCGGCCGCGGAAGCAAAGCAAGAAGAGTAAAGACGAGGTTGGCAAGGCGAACAGGATCCCGCCCTTCTCTTTCCTAGACACACAAAGGAGGGAACAATAAGCATTTTTGCTGGGAGGGTGTTTACGAGATGACAATGGAGCTCCCCCGATCATGCGGCGTAGCTGTGGCAGGCTAGTTGGATTTGAAATGCGGTACTCCGTGAGGGAAATTGGGGACAAGCAAGCTGGGAATTTGAGTACATTACCTTACGTTGCTTTGCATCCGATGTTGTTGGATCTTTTGTCAATTCGTCAGAAATGGAGATACGACGGGTTGTGGAGGGTTAGATGTCGGATGGACCAAGGTTTGGATGGACGAAGGAGGGGGCGGCGACGACGTTTCCAGCGAGAGCCATGGGAGGAGAGGAGAGGTCCTAGCTTTCGGAGTCGCTCTCCGTCCATAAGGGGGACGCTGATGCATAAGCGCCAGCGCCAAGTGAGCTATGAGCCGGGGGCCTCCTAGTGATGTTAAGATCAGTCGAGCGGAGTTGGGGAGGAGACGGTCGTGCTTTATCCGACTTTTGCAAGGGCGCGGCGGAGACTCAAAAGCTCGGGGGGGTCCCCCGGTTCCCAGCCGTGGAACCCATGGATCCTGGGGCTGTAATTCCAGGCCGCCGGCGGGAGCAATCTATCGTCCACGTGTACCTCGTACGGGGAGGTGTGAGGGAATGGCATCTGTGATTCTGGGAGACTGGTAGGCGGCGCGCCCAGCATCCCATTTTGCTTGCTTGCTACCGCTTGTCGAAATCGAGGACCATCGGATGACATCAAGAAAATATGGGGTTTCTTGGTGGTGGATGGAGGTCCCCTCTTCGCGCCGGTGCCGGACCGAGACGGCTCGGAGCCAGGAGGGGGGCTTTGACGCACGCTGAGGATCAATAAATGATGCCATTCATGACTTGGGATGGCTCCAAAGCGTATCCATTCGCGAGTCGTAGTCCCGGAACCGGCATGGCTATCAGAGCCGCTGTAAATAAGTGCCTGTCGTGCAACGTCGAAAAGCCGTGAAGTCGAAAGATGCTTTACCAAGTTTACGGGTCGACTGGCGTAGGATCGGCACCGTACAGACGGACAAGGCAACTTTCAGATGCCCAAATGGACCGCGGATGGGAACGCTTTCTTCTCGAATTCTCCCTCCCCCATTTGACATCGACCACTTGGCCTGTGATAATGGGACGATAAAGTCTGCAATTTCTTGAGGAGACCTGACTTGACATCCATCGGACCAGATCCGTGAGGAAAATGCTAGTTGCTAGACCATCCAGATATGAGCAACACATGCAATGAATACTTGGAAGAGCATGCAGTTGGCCGAATCAGGCTGACCGACTTGCATGCTGCCATCGGACAAGGAAACGCAGGAGGGGGCCAGTCGACTCGACCCAAACCTCTTCTGTCTAGTGTAACTGGTCCCGGCGGGCAATTGAAGACCCGCCTCCCGTCACAACGGACCTGGACCTGGACCTGGTTGGGGCTAGGAACCTGGGACCCGGGCTCCCAGGGCTCACAAGGGAGAACGGGCAGCGATCGCCGTCGCAGACGACCCAGCTTGCCAGACAAGCTGGGTTCATTCAAGGCAACGAAGTCTTCTTGCAGATGGGCTGCTTAGAGGTGTCTTGCTAAGTTGCTCGACCAGCGTATCCGTATGCAACCGTCTGACTCTAGACCAGTAGTGGCAGGTTCGATTCCGTATGAGCAGGAAAGCATCCGTAAAGCTCAGGGTTATGATATCGTCCAGGCCAAGCGGGCTGCATTACGGTGAGCAAAGAACAACGAGGAAGGTGAGGGGAATTTGAGCGGGATACGTACCGAAAGTGAAGTAAGGCAAGGTACGTACTTATTGGAGAAAGGAAAAATGCTGATGGTGTGGTGTGGTTTTTGTGGTGTAGGATGTAGCTCCCCCCGCCTTCACCCCTCCCCCCCCGTTCGACACAGCCGCGATGGAAATAGTACGGGTCCTAACTTGTAGGGAAGACGTTGGTAGGTTGTAGCGTCCCTAACGATGTTCGGTTTAACGTCTATCAAGTCCATCTGATTATGGAAGGGGGTCGGGGTTGGAGGGTTGATCGCGACAAGCCAGTCTTTAGGCATCAAAATAAGGTCGACTTGGAGATGCACGAATCTCGTTTGAGCTGAGATGAGTTCTTGCTTTTGAGAATTTGAGGCTTGGAACGGCCCGCCAGGGCGAGAAGGAATAGGCGGGCGGGCGGGCGGCGGCGGAGGCGTACCGCGGCTGTTGACGCAGGTAGTGCGTAGACTTGCGCGGTAGTCATGGGCTGTGGTGGTGGTGGTCATCGTCGTTCTAGTTCGGGCTCCTCTGTATCCGTACGGATAGACGATGACGATGACGATATCGTCGCTTGCTCCTCTGGCCGTGAGGGTGTCCCGTCGATGGCTCTGTGAAGCCCACGCGCCTCTCCGAGGTCTTCCGCGGGAGGATGGAGCAAAGGACCAAGTGTTGCTGCGTCAAGGGCGTGTCATCCTCCGAGTCCGAGAATGACAGAGGAACAAACGCAGCCCAGTCCGAGATCAACGTGGGATTGAGGAGCCATGCAATGCAGATGCAGTGCGAGGGAAGACGACGTGGGTGCCACCCGGTTGGTGTCGACGACCCAGTGATGGATCAGAAAGGGCTGGCCTGACGAGCCTGGCTTCGTGTGCTTGTAACTTGTGAGAGAGCGACACTGCAAAGGTGAGAGAGACATCTGACTGGACCGCCCGGACTTTAAGAGGGTCGTCTCCGCCACCTGTCAGCCCTCACCCGACAGACGAGGAGGGCAGGCCGCAGGCCGTAGGCGTGGGAGGGTGCAGGGGACGCTGCCCTGCGGATGAAGGTGAAGAAAGTGCAGTGCAAGGCCACCGCAGTGGGTTCCTTACCTTGCCTTACCTTGCTCTGTTCGTTATGTACGTATGGATACGCCTCACATCCGTGGGTACGTAGATATTGCTTGTATGGATACGTTACCTCCTTTCCTCTCAGTTGGCATAGAAGCCGCGAGATACGGATACTTGATGATACCCTTGTTGTGCGAGCCGGGCCTGGAAGTGACGATTGCAGGTAGTGTATCAGCAGTTGAGGCAATCTCGACCTACCTTGGTCAATGCTCGACATACCGTTCTGTCTCCTTATTGCCACTTCTCAAGGGAGCGTCGAGACTGCCATATCCGGTTACCCCCAGAGACATCATCCGTACACATTGAACCTTCGGTCCCGAGGCAAGATCTCGTCCGAAACCCTTGCCGGGTTCACTGAAGACGTTCATCCTTGGTTCTGGCTCGTGCTTGTCGGAGACTCTCCGCCCCCAAATTTTAGTTCCTAGGGTGGAGCGAGCGGTTCAAGTCGCTACCCGAAACTCTCGCAAGGGCCAAAAGTTGGTACCTATTGCAACGTCAGCTTCGCCAAGTGCGCAACGTCGTAGTACTCTAGCCATTATGTACGAAGTATCCGTACTTCGCTCTTCCTTCACACCCCGAGAGTAGCCTTCCCGTACAGCTCAATCTGCTCTCTGCTGGACCCCCTTTTTGAGGAGACAACTCGACACACCCTGCCCTATGAGGCACATGGCTGACAGGGAGAAGCCAGGTGTGGAAGACGAGGCGAGAGACCCGTGAGCATGGAGATAAGCGGCGTTTGTGGGGTGAGGGGAACATCATCATTCATGCACTGAATGTTACCGCATCTGTACCAGTGATGAAAAGAAGACGAGAGGCACCTGACATAATCTGATGTCATCTTTCGTAAGTTGCCTGCCTAGAGAGTAAACGTGCGGTAAAATGCCAAATCAGAGTTGAGAGTGAGAGTGAGAGAGTAAGAATAATATTGTACCCGTTTTGGGACAGTCGAACATTTGGTCTTTGCTTGGTGGATTCATGGGGTATCAGTCAAGTATAGCCAGCAAGAAGAGAGTAAAGATGAGCTCACTGTTCTGAGCAATTCCCTTCCTCCCCAGGCGAGGCGAAAGTTACCCCTTCCTGGCGTCCGTGGATTATCCGTCATGCCGGGAATCCCGCCCGGCACTCAACCATACTTCTGAAGGCCCGAAGTTGACCGTTTGATGAGCAAACCCTATTCGATATGGTTCATAGAAAAAGCGCGACCAAGACCCAAGACTCAAGAGACCCAAAACCCCCTGAATATGAGCCAAAGAGGTGGGGGGAACGAAGGAGGCCAGTATCGGTGGGGGTTGGCGATGTCAATCATCCGTAAACCTGCTCGTCCGACCACTCCTTGAGCCCAGGTACCAGAGGTGCCTGGCTGGCTGCAACATAACACATGAGATGTACGATGATTGGTCCCTGCTTTCTGGATCCAACCTCTAGGTTACGGCGTTGCAGAAGACTGCAACCTCGATTTTACTCCCGAACAGGCTCGGGGGTAAACACCTCGAACGCATGGTAACCTTGCGAGTATCCGTAGCCTGTACTCCGTAGTGTACAAATACGGACAGGTATCAATAATCGGGCCCCCTTGAGATGTGATCTGGGGGCTCCCCGTGCTGGGTAATCGCTAGTCTGGGCGGATGACCGCCATGCCAACCACTCGAGATTGCAGTCATTAGAGTGGCCTCATGCTCCACATGGACGTGTCGGCGGACCCAGAACGACTACAAATGATCCCCGAGCTTCCGTGGCAAACCGACCCTAGTCCCGAATTCTGGTGCGCGTTCGGCCCCATTACGCCCGTCGGTGAATCACTGCGAACGGGGCAGACTGGGACCTACGATCGTCGGGCATGTCGGTGTTGTCGTCCGGGCCTGTTTTGCGCGGCTTGGTGTATTAGTTGCGGCATGGCAATCCGCATCGCATAGAAGCGCCCCCGTATCACAAATGAGAAAGATCGGGAAAAGGAGAAAGGGGCCGCTGTTCGGCAAAATCGAAAATCCCGCGACAGACCAAGTAGCCATCAGCTGTGAACAAGACAATATGCACGACTGTTGTAAAGGCTCGATTGTTCTGCACTTTGGCCACCCGTCTTGAGACAGTCCACAACTGCTTCGCTACATTGCGCATCATTAAGTGTGTCCAGTGGGAATTTGGACCCTTCTGCAGGTTCTGAAACACCAGCGAGTATGAGCGTCTCTTACTAAGGACACAGAGCTTGCGTATATCCATGACGCCAAATGGTTTGTCGCAAGCCACCCTAGACAGACAGCTTGCGACAGCTCATCAACCAACCCGCCAGGGCATGGTGTTCCCAGACCGTTCATCGTGGGGTTGGGGGCCAAAACTCAACTTCTGCTGTATTATATAAGCAGAACATGCAACAGCCAAATATTCACGTGGGGTTGCGACTCCAGCGACCCGGAAAAGTAAGGGACCCATATCCTACCGGTTTGGAGAATCACCTTAAAGTGATGTTGCATTGGTGATGGCCCACTTTGAAGGCATGGTAAGTTGACAATAAGCTGTGACAGGTCCTGACATGCTGTGGCCGTCTACTCTCCTCGCGCGCCATTGGACGAAATACTCAACGGCACTCGTTGCATCTTGGCTCTTATTGGCCGCCATGCGAGCTGCAAGTTGAATCCTTCGAGACTCATCAACCATCTGCTATTCGATGATGGCAATAGCGAAGTAGGCGCAGCAAATTTGACCTGAGACGCCAGAGCATAGTCTAGCTAACTGCGGCTGCTTCCTTGCCAGTTGTTCGGGATTTCCTGGTATACCAACGACCCCCCTCTTGTTGCTAGAAGTCTCCGTCCCAAAGTCAAATGGTGGGTTTCTGGCGTTTGCCAGAGCTCGAAGAACTGTAGCTGCCCTTCAGGTCATCAAACGTAAAGCTCTCTCTCTTTCAATGACCTAGGTCCACAGCAGTTGTTTAGGGTCGCGATGTTGCTTGACGAATACCCTGCGGCTGTTGAATTCCGGTCTTCAGGCTTTAAAATCTCACCCGGAGACATGATAATATGTTGGTGTACCCTAAGGTTGATGAAAGTCCTGGCGATAGACTCGAGGAATTCTCGCTCCCGAGCTCCTGGAAGACGCCGCTCTACCAGCCAAACGATGGTGCTAGTAGTCTGTTGAGATACTCGGTAGCCGCTCGTCGGCTCTCTTGTCGCTTACGCTCTGCGGGCATGGCGACGAACTGTGATGACTTCCAGGCAGCAGGATTCTTCGAGATCCACTGATGGGCTAGGCGGAAGAATGTGGACAAGGTTGGTGGCTTGATCCACTGCCGTGCCGGTCGGGAGCATCCCACAGCCCAGTCCGTCTGCATCCATATCGATTCACCCTCCATCTCGTCGAAAGCTGGTCGCTCAGGAGCCAGCCCTGTTGGGCGCGAAGTGGCGAAGTCACCGGCAGGACACTGATGTACAATCGCGGCGGGGCGAACAGGTGGCACAAAACCGGTGCCACTGTCACTTGCAAAGGATCATGAAGCAACGGCGGTCAACGGCTAATGGTGGTTATTAAGCAGGGGCCGGCTCATAGGGCCATAGTGGAACAGCCACATGGAAGCTCTGGAAAGGACTGTGCCGCCTTCAAGCATGCTTTATCTCGTCTACCGGCTGCTTTGACTTGGAGGCATACGTTAAGGGGAAGCCATGGAGCTGCGACCCCTGATGAGCGGGCGTTCAGATCGGAAGGATTGCAGTCGGGGTCGTCTTCTGAACTACCCAGTAGTTGATAGGTAACGGCGGAACGTTGACGACAAGTACGGCAAGCTTGACCAGAAGTATAGTGAGTCCCGTCCTATCCATACGGTCAAAGTTGTCAGTCTGTAGGGTCCATGTCAAAGACGAGACGGCTTCTTCGTATAGGCAAGCGTATATTGAATAACCAGGGCACCCCGTGGCATGCTTGTCCATCATGTCGACCTTGTTCGGGGGTGATGACGGTGAACTTGATTCAGCCGGAAGATAGCAGCCGCCTGATTGTCTCGGGGCCGAATGCCTCCTCTACCTCGATACTTCCGTGGACTCATGGGGGTCGCATTTCCCCGCTTCGAAGGAAGAGGCTTGACGACCCGTGAAGCTGTGATCGGTCATGAAAGTGGCCGATTGGGGCAAGGCCGCAACGGTTCGGTGTTTGAACCACTTTTTGGCCAGGTTGTCTTGGACTCGATTCGTTCGTGTACTCCCGAACCAATCTTTCCATACGGAGAGACGAGCCGACAGTGAGCGATATTGGAATGCATACGTATTGGAGTACCCGGATGACGCGACAGCTGCCGGACGTTGAATGAGAATCGCCCCGGCCATGGATGGCCACGGCGCCCGTTGCTTGGGATGGCCCTGCCTCTTTGTGCTGATGGAGGAGCCAGCCCATTGGCAATCAAGCCTAGATTCGAATCCTCGGACGGTTTTGAGATTGCTCTTGATATTGCGCACTGGCCAGCAATGCTCCACGTCTGGACACGAAACACGGTTAGCGCTAGTGATCTATGGGAAGAATGAGTTACAAGCTCTTGGCGGTACGATTGAAGCTTTGGGGGCAGGAAGAAATGTTCGTACCTGACATTTAGATCTAATTGCTCCCTCGTTGTGTCTCCTTGGGGTTTCGCTCTCTTGTGTAAGCCCCCTTCCATGGCCCTTTTGTCTGGTCCGACCGCAATACCTTGTCATATCTCCTGTTTTCTCTGCGTTCAAGCATGCAAGTGCTGCTGAGGACAGGTTCGACGCAGCTTGTCTCGATCCTTCGTGTCGTTACCCCACACTTGTTGTAAGGGGAATACCGCTTGAAGACATACCCTCGACCATGCTCAACAGGGAAGAGCGGCTGCGGGCGCTTTAAGCGAGTATTTGTGGGTTGGTGGCAACGACACTGAAATGACTTGTTCATGGTCTTCAGGTAACGCGCCTAGCCAGGTACGATACTTTCTTCCGGCGGTTTTGAGTCTTCGTAGCTTGGTCATAGGCCGCGACTCATCATCGGGAGTCGTCCGCGAACATGATGGAATTCTGTGGTTGCTTAGATAAGGTAACAGGGGAGATGTTGGAGGTGTGCAGGAGACAAGCGAAAGAGAGAGAGTCGTGTTGCGGTGCAAAGGAGGAAGGGGTGATTGTATAAGTGAATCTTTTTGGCAGAGGGTGTGAACCTAAGCCCATGCACTCGGAGCAGGGTGCCTTAGGTACCTAAGATGGCTACCTGTGTATACTGTGCTCGCTACAGTGCTGCTTGGTAATACATACTGCTAGCACACCACCAGCATGTGCGCCTGTCTCGCTTCGTGGCTGCCGCTCCGGGCGTTCCTTCCCCTCGGGCTTACCAATTGGATCTTGGGAGCGGCGCTAGCGCCTGTCGCCAGCTGCGGGAGAAATAAGCGCGACGCTGCGATAGGCCCACGTTATCCCTTCCGATTTTGAGGCTTCAAGCATGCACTCTAAGCGCAGCGCTTAACCCACCCATCAACGCCAAACAAAGTAAACACCTCCCTCCACCTACTTTGGAATCAACAACAACTGGCGACAGCACGGCAATCCTCCACGATAGATACCGTCGACCGACATAATTACAACTTCCTCATTGAGTGTCACCGCACCATCCTTGCCGAGACTCTTCAATGAGGCAGGCATTGAATCCTTCCGCTTGAGCGCATCTGGATGCATTCAACAAGCAGCCATGGCCACGATAGTGAGCGCCGCGCCGTCGAGGTGGAGCGGCAAGAGACAGAGCGTGTTCAGATCAGTTTTTGACTCCGAAATCTCGCAACCCCCTCCTCATTCGATACCTTCTCAAAGGTTCAGGTCGCATGCCGAGCCGTTTGGCGGCGCACCATCAACACCACTACACCGTCAATCACCCTCCCGCCCGCACTTCCCTGGTCATGGCAAATCTTCAGACATCCAAGCCTCGTCTTCATCTCGGCGTTCACAAACTTCTGCTTCCATGCAGACTAGCGATCAAGTCCGGTGGGACCAAGCATGGCACATTGTGACGACTCGTATTCAACTTCCGCCGTCGGTGGCCGCTGAGGACTCCTTTGGCACTCTGGCTCCGGAATCCCAGGACTACGATGCAGACTTTTATGACAGTCTAAAGGTGGTACTCCATCCAGAGAAGCACTCTGAGAACACCTCTATCACCGAAGACATCCTTTCCTGGCATACTCAGCAGGTTCGCCACCACTTCGCCCAACATGTCCTCCCCCTACTTTCTGCTTGCAACACGTACGGTGACCAATCCCAGGTGCTCCTAGGCAGCATCCATACTCTGGAAGCAGCTCACCGCCAGTACCTTTATGGACTGTCTCTTATCGTGCGGGGTCTTGAGAACAAGCATGCAGACATCGCCGTCGACAAGTTTCGCCGTGATCTACACGCAGTCATTGGTAACTCCATGTCGCAGGCGCTTATGGAGTCCCTCCAAGCTGTTCTGAGTCGTCAGATGAGGTTGGTTCTGGGCATGCAGCAGACTAGCCCTCCCCCGGGTGCCTCTCGGACAACCGACCTCGAAGCAGACCGTCAGGCAGCAGCGGCAGCGGCAGCGCGGCAAGAGCTCCTGCAGTTGATTGAGGCACTGCACAAAGTAGGACTGGCAGGCGAGAGGTTCCAAGTCCTATTCGCTGAGCTCATGGATGCCATGATGGTGGAGCACATCAGAACATCATTTGCGGGCGCCTGGACGCAATCGAAATCAGATGGCGGGAAGGATGCTCCGCGCGCCTCGTCTGTGCCTCGCGCTACGAAACTTGGCACCCCTTCGCGCTGCATTGCTGCGCTATGCAACTGGGTCGAAAACCATTACTCGCGGCTAGCAGTCGAGGTGTTTGCTCGCCTCGGCAGCGGAGACATTGCCTGGACCGATGTTGAAAAGTGGAAGGAGATTGCCGTTGGACGTTTAGCAGTCATGCGTATCCATGAGCTCTTCGACATCGTTCTCCAATGGCCCCACAGTAGAGGCGCTCTTGACGACCTCCGAATGGCCATCACAACGCCGCAGAGACGGCTGCAACTGACGGACACGTTTTCGGCAGCGTTACAGAAACGGCTGTTGCATCCCGGACGGTCAACTCTGGACATACTACGCGTATACATTTCTATGATCAGGACCTTCCATGCTCTGGACCATTCCAAAGTGCTATTAGACCGTGTGGTCCACTCGCTGCAGCTTTACTTATGTCAGAGAGACGATGCGATCCCGATCGTCGTGACTGGACTCCTATCAAACCCGGATGTCTCCAATACTGAGGCAGGCAATACTAAGCTCGTTGAGCTCGCCGTTCTACTCAATGATCCGTCACAGCAGAGAAGACCTGCCGTTGAGGATGAGGAACTGGACTGGGACGATATGGAATGGATCCCTGATCCCGTAGATGCCGGAGTCAACTACAAGCGTCCCAAGTCAGAGGACGTCATCGGGACATTAATCAGCGCTCTGGGCTCTCAGGATATCTTCATCAAGGAGTTCCAGAACATCATTGCAGAGAGATTGCTGTCTACACAGATGGAATTCAGCCAAGAAGTCCGTGTGCTCAATCTACTAAAGAAGCGGTTTGGGGATAATGCCTTGCAAAACTGCGATGTTATGATAAAGGATATCCAAGACTCGAAGAAAGTTGACTCTATCATCTCTAAGACGATTAGGACAGGCGTCATCGGTGGTCCCATCCGTAAGGCCCACAACACTCCGTCATATCATACCAAGATTCTTTCTCGGCTCTTCTGGCCAACTATGGACAGAGAGCATTTTCTCTTACCTGGACCTGTCACCGAGGGCCAAGGACAGTACGCAGGCGAGTTCGAGCGCCTCAAGTCCAACCGCAAGCTCACATGGCTCAATAATCTCGGAAACGCCACTGTCAACCTTGAACTTGAAGACAGAACAGTTGAGAAGGAGTGCAAGACGTACGAAGCCGTTGTCATCTATGCATTCCAAACAGATGACTCTTACAGCGGACCGCTTCCCGTACGTCGCACGGTTGACCAGCTTGAAGAGATGCTACAAATGGACGACGATTTGATTCGTTCCGCCCTATCGTTCTGGGTCGGCCAGCATGTCCTCCGTGAGATCGAGTCGGGCACCTTTATCGTCATTGAGAAGCTGGATGACGATGCCGATGATGGAGGGAATCCACCTGGACCCGGTCCCGACGATGCTCCAGGGCCCGATTCAGGTGACCTTTCACCCAAGAAACCGGGCGTGTTGGATGCCAAGGAGAAGGAACGTCGACAGGTGTACTGGCAGTTCATTGTTGGTATGCTGACCAACTCGAGTCCAGCCATGCCACTGGTTCAAATCGCCATGATGATGAAGATGTTGATAGCGGACGGGTTCCCATGGAGCAACGAGGAGCTACAGGAGTTCCTTGCGGAAAAGATGGCCATGGGTGAGTTGGAGCTGGTCAGTGGAAAGTACCGACTGCCAAAGAAATGAGCGGCATAGATTTCTCCAACAGTAGAAAGGAGAATTGTCGCGATATGGAGGTGCTGGATGGACCCTCATGATGAGGGGACCTTGGTAACTAAGTAGATAACCTGCGGCTCATCTGCAGGGCCACACTTTGCTGCAGTCAATGATAGCTACGATATCCAACTAAGTCATGCTCAGCAGCCGACATTCTGTGACAAAGATGCTGTGACTGATGAGTACGGCTTACAGTCAATAAGTTGTCTGACTCCGTATGCTTCCCGAACACGTCGTTCTGGTGGTGAGACAATTCGTAGAGTCACCCTGACACATGTTCTACTTCGTGTCGGATCGATCGTATGACTGGATCTTTACGGTCGTGAGCTCTGATTCCTTCTCGTTTATCATCAGCCAGCGATAGTCGTAACTGCTTCAGATAATCCGAGCGTTGTCGGGAGATGGAGGGACTTTCAAGTTTGTTCCAGTCCTCGCTTCGGCTACAGTGGTTAGCAGGGCCAGCGGGGAGCTGTATTACGAGTCCTGATAACTTCCCAATAACTCTTGTATCCAGGTCTTCTCTCCTCGTCCTACCCCAACGGATAGAGGGGCCAGAACCAAGAGGACTTCCATCGCATCGTGCTTTAGTTCGTTGAGAACGGGATATCTAGAGAGTTGAAACTGATATTCGTGAGTATCTGTCATCGGATGGGACTCTGAATACGTTGTCTCTTAATGTCTTGGGACGACCAGTGCGTTGCATAGGTAGCTGTCATGTTAAACAACGCGGCTGAAGTCTTCGACGGTCGTCAGTCTTCGGATTCGCGTGCCTCCCTAGGTACCATCTCTCGCCGTGGGTTTGGCTACTATGAGGTTTGGTGTAGCCGAAAGTGAATTGACCCCCCTTCCCGGACCATGTACGTTTGTCAGTCGTCATCATCATGCTCGAGAGACTGCAGAACCAGACAACAGCAAATACGCCATACTTTTCCTGTTTCTCGCACCTTGTTGGCCAAGGTGGGCATAACGTGAATTGTGAGAGACTTATCTGGTTCAATCACGAGATTCCAATTACAAGTGCAACATGCAGAGCTCGGATTCATTCCGCGTGTAAATGTGGATGTTCAAGCATGGCGACCGGCGATGTGCGAACAACCTGGGGGAAGAGTTTTTTTTAAATAGTCTGTGAGATCTGAACAAAAACCATCGAGAGGTTCATAATGCTCTCGATTTCATATCATAGCGCTTCCATACTGCTTAGCTATGATGACATGATAGTACCCTACTTCAAGGCCCCTGGAGGTATTTAGACTGTCAAATTTACATCAAAGGGGCCTTCAAGCAGTATAATGGCCACTGGATGTTGACATGAGAGCTCTCTCGCAAGCCCTGAACTTAATGTGCGGGGAAAGAC